AAATTATTTGTCATAAAAGTAGCAAAATGTAAACAAAGTAGTATTTTGACTTCCATACAAAATACTAAATCCCTTTAACTGTATTAATCGCAAAAATGCACAAGAAGAAAAATATGCACCTATATAACAGTAAAAACGTTTTTCTTGTGTTTGTTGTTGTTGTTTTCTTTTTCAGTGACGCTCCTAAAGTATAACCTCAAAGGCCCAGTATGCCCCAGAATTCTTTTATTTTTATGTCTCAAAGGCATTTTTTTTACTTTTATAATTTCTGTCATCAGTTACTTATTGGCAAATTATATAATCCCACACGAATATATCTGAAAGATGTATTCGTGTGTGATCATTATTAAATTTGATTGAACTCTTTGAAAAAGAAAATTGTGCTGGCAATATAACTTTTATTTAACTGTATTTATTTATACAAATTTGAATGCGATTTGTTGTGTAATAAAAAAGAAATTTACATTAGTTGGCATTACTAAAAAAATTCTTAAACTCTCGTCAAAGGTTTGTAACCTTTTCTTTAATAGTTTTACATCATATTTTTACATCAATGACAACTCATGTGAGATCCTATACATGTATATATCATAGTATCTGTAATAATAAAATAATTTTCTATGCGTTTTATTGTAATGGCATTATGTATGTCACCTCTCTTATAAATTAAAAAAAAAAACAGATAAAAAAAAACAAATAACAAAAATTTACTGTATATATATCGTATATAAATGAGTATGCTAGATATCACACTGAGAAATGAAAATTTGCAATATTTTCACAAATGCGAAGGACATTTTTTCAGTGTGATATATAGCATTTTTGCCCAAAAAGAAATCAGTTTTCTTGCTGTGTGCCGTATAAGTAAATGACAGCCATGAACGACCGTTTTCATCAAAGCACGAGAAACAGAGATGATACCAGAAGTTCGACTGCTACGCGAACGTTGAGCAGACAAAAGTAATTTAAGATAATAATCATCGCTACGTAGTAACTGATAACATTTTTAGATTTTAGTTAGTAACGATATTTCAATTGAGAAAGAAAATTTAAAAATGAAGAAAACACATTATTTTGTGTAAATCTATAACATGGTGCGAAACATCACTGTTGCAGGCTCCATCCACTATAAAATCTGTGCAATAAGATATACCGACAGAGCTTTATCCAAATATAAACAAGTGTCTGCATTTCCTTCCAGCAATGCCAGTGCTGAACGTTCATTCATCAGCTGGAAAAGGCTAAAGACTTTCTAGCGCTCAACGATGACCACTGGTCACCTCTCTGGCTTAGGACTTTTGCAGATCCATAGAGACAGGGTGATCTAGGCTGACGTTGTTGTAGATAAATTTGTGTTTGTCACTCTTATTTGCTGACTAGTAAAAGCGTACACGTCATTTGTTTGCGTCTGTCTATTCAATGTATATCCTTATATACGCTCATTCTCAATAAAACACAGCATTTGATGTTCCACTGGGTAGCTCTTATACGAAGGTTTTTCTTGAGGTCAAAATGTCGTTAGAAAGGTGGCTGCCACTTTGTCTAATAGGGACACTCTCAGTTTTTACATTTCTAATCTGTTATTTTTCTTTTACAAGTACCATTTCATGCCCTAAAAATGTAACATACGTTACTGTCGCCACCGTAGAATTTTCAACTTTGAAATTGTGTTTCAGAAAAATAAGTTCCAAAATAAACGAAACATGTGCAATTAGTCATTGCTGTGTGTATATGACTTTTGATTATTGGTAAAAATTATATTTGACTGTTAAAATCTCATTGATATAATGGATGATCAAATGTCGCCAAATGCATATAAATAAATAGTAACAAACCTAAAACAATAATAAGTGGAACCGAAATTACATAATTGAATCGATGCATGCTTAATAATACAGCATATATATAATTATAAGTAAAAATAAGCTTGCAGCCTCTCAAATATCATTATATTTTCGGAAATCTTTCATTTTTTATTCAAAATCTTTTCAAACAGCATTTTAAAAAGAAACATACGTTACCAATTATTTAAGAGCCAGTCCATTCAAAGAAGAAATCCAAACAAGAAGAAATTAACATGTGTGTAACTCTGATATATTAACCACAAATTATGGCGGATTAAACGGTCTTGCGTCATTTTTTAACCACTTTCAATGTAAAAATGAAACATACGTTATAGAAACATACGTTATCAAACTTTTTTTAAAGTAAGTTTATCAAAAGGGAAATTGAAGTCAGAAAGCACAAATAACAGCAACATTAACTTCTATTTGACATTAGTAAGTAAATTTTGATAACTTTGGTCGAGTTTTAACTTGTTTAAGTACCACAGTGAAACAAACGTTACTTTTATCAAACAGATTTTTATATTGTTTTGCACATGCATATATAAAAACATAAAATCGCATTTTTATGACAATAGAAGATGTACTTTTGATTCCTAATAAAAAAAGTCGATTTTACATGTAAGTTTCAATTCCGTGATTAAGTTCATAAATAAGCGAGTGTGAAACATACGTTACTCCAACTTACAAATTCAACAATTTTTGAAATTAAAGATAAAGTTGGGATAAGCATGCCTGTTAGTAACGGTTAGCCCTTGTATTAGATGTAAGAAGATACAAATTGTTTTTTACAAAGGAAAGATATGTTAATGATATGTTGATGTACCAGCAGAAATGTTAAAAATATGTTACAAGATATTGATGTTCTTAGCAACAACTAATTCGTTTCTGCAAAGAGCTTACTGGCCATGTTTCATTCTATATATAATAATGTTAAAATAATATCCATAAATATAAATTATTTTACAAAAATAAAATTGTTTTCTCAAACTTTACTTGCATTTGAATAAAATGAAACATTGCGTGACAACCTATAGGGGGAATAAATATAGAACTGCTTAGCAATAAATTTTCCAAATATTAGAAAGTAAAAGTTGAATGTTTTGAAAAAAAATGCTAAATACAACATTTGTGTATGCATTCGACCTTTAATATATTATATATGATATATATCCTTTGATGAAGACATAAAATAATCATTTCCAAAATTGACTATTTTTGCTTTCTACGAATATTTAACTTTGAAGAAATTACTGAAAATTAGCAAAGGTACCCAACTTCCTTGAATTTTCCTGGGTTAGAAAAGTCCCTCTAGATAGAGAATTTACAGATTTTTGATATATTTCAAAGACATTTGTTGTTAATATGCAGCAATATGTTTCATTATTAGATCTGAAATCTACGTTACCGAAGAAATACAGTGTCATTACCGAAATAAATGCCACCCTGTTATATCATAGTTTCTTGTTCAAAATATTTCTGGCAAACTTGCAAAATACCCTAAACGTTTACTTAAGCGATAAATAATGACACAATGACAACATCAAATTTTTAATTTTTTTCAACCTCAAATGCTTTATTTATTGAGAATGGGCGATAACGTTTATCAAATACCTTGAAATATTATTACACGATCTAGCAATTATATCTAAGACGTTCTCTTAATCACGTCACATATTAACACAAGTCATACCATAACATAAAAAGTTATTAATGATAATATTAAATTCCTTCTGACTTCAATTTGCAATTTTATGTTTTGAAAATGTTTACTTTAAACATCTCTAAATGGTGAAAATCAATGAGCTTCCAGGGGCTTCGCCCCCTGGACCCCTACCAGGGCTCTGCCCTGGACCTGCAAGGGGGCCTAAAGCGGCCCCATTTACCCCCTGCCTGAGCGTGCGTAATATCGATTTCGGCCTAGCTACGCCCCTGTAAGAGATGACTTAGGGAGAAAAAACACTATTTATACTTTGTTTACATGCTTTATATTTAGTCAGGAACTTGAAGAAAAAAATGATCAAAGATCAAGAAGGGAGAACGCCTGTCCAACAGAACCACCGACAGAACTACCGACCATAAACCAGGGCATAGACAGAAAGGGTTCTCAGTCATGGTTTTTATTTTCAAACTAAGAATGCGTGTTTTTTTCTTTCTATTTGTCTTTCTTAAAACGGCTTAAGAAGAAAACGGACAGTAAAATAATCGAAAGAGAAATGCCTGTAGGTCGATCAACATTTCAAAAGCAAAACGTTTGCATTCTCAATATCATTCAGCTTGTTCTTTGAACAGCATAAATAAATCCATGCTACCGTCTTAGACCCTAGGACCAGCTGGAACATATTACAAATAAGATATTAATCCGTCGATATACACACATATGGCTTTTCTCGTGATGCGTTCATTCCACAAGGGACGTTGCATGGTCGCTAAACATGTAAATGAACGTACATGCAAAATACGAGATAACATGCGACAGAGCTTAATGGAACGACATTTGACATGGTTATGAAACCTGCTGTGTACCAACTAAATACTGTGTAACTTCATTGTTCGATCCTTTCTTCCTAGATGGCAAAATGTGAATGTTCTTTTGATAAGAATTAACAAGTTTAAGCTATACAAATTTGATTAGTAGAAACACAAATTAAATGTTAGCACAGATCTTCCACATGATAAATAAATCCATATTTATTTAGCCCTGAAATTATATCAACTTTTTTTCTCAAATTGTTTATTATTATGATTATTTTTTCTTTGGGGGGTATCTTGTTAAAGTTTCCAAAACTTTATTCATAAGCCATATATGTGAATTACTTTTGGCTCCTTTTTCCTCTTTAGCAATTGGTATAATTATAGTGATTTATTGTTCTGTATGAAAGTCAGAATATTACTTTGTTTACATTTGGTTACCTTTATAACACATTTTTGCCCTTTCAGCGCTAAAACATTCAGTTGTTTAACATCTAACTAGTTCTAAATCCATTGTTAGAACATTATTGAACAAGTGTTCAACCTGTCTAAAGAATTAAAATTTTACTGACTTTTAGAATGAATTATGGATAAGTTCGTATATATTGATTGATAAGTCTGATATTAGTGATTCTGAATATACATATATCACGCTATGCCTCATAAATTAAAAAGAAGGAAACAGAAATATAGTTGTGTTTGATAAAGTAACAATATGACGCTTTACAACAAATTAGACATCCTTGTATAGCGTGTCACCTGAAGGATGGAGTGGAAAATTGCAGTTGTCTGAAACACAGCAGTAAGTACATTCGAAGTCAAGATAAAGTGGGTCGTCTTCATGAAAAGCTCTACATGTATCGCTATCTGATGATCCAAGGTACCACTCTCTATAGCATGTAGAAAAGTTTCCGCAGCTAGAGGCAAAAATTATATATATGTTATTTGTGTCTTCCTAAAAAAAGGTGGTAAATGTAAGGTGCGCATGTAGACAACTGTGTTAGTTAGTGATAACTTACAGTGTAAGTTTAATTATTTAGACAACTCATAGTTTTAGCATGTTTCATATTATTTCTATCCTAAACTTAAATGTCAAATACGTTTTTGCATTGAAAATTAAGGTATTAGCACCCTAATGCATTACCTCCGCTTTGAAGAGTATTCAAATAGGCTAGAACTACTGTTAACTACATTGAAAATGAGGGCCATGGGTTCAATCCCCAGAAGGGTCAACTTTTTTTTCTTTCTTTTTTTCTTTTAACATTATTTATGTATCTCTCATGTCCCATTTGGAAAGAAAAAAGTGTTTAATTTAGATTTTTTAATTTATATAGGTATTTATTGGCTAAATTATGCTAAATCTAGTAATAAATATGGTACCTGATATTTTCAAAGTGTAATATAATCAAAACTAGACGGTAAAAGTATTTCATATTTTACAAGATCAACCAATATACTTTTTTAAAAATTTAGGGAAACTTTAAAAACAGGCACTCATTTGGGTAAATTTTAAGAATTTTTTTAAATTAGGCTCCCTTAGTAGAAAAATGGTCAGACACGTGGTAAAAATGGGTGGGGTAGGGTAACATTTTTATACTGATTTCATAAATTTTAAGTAGAAACCATAAATTTTGCTTATTTGGATTGTTAGCTGAATGGTACTATTTGTTTCTTACCAAAAATTAATGGGAAAACATTCTTCATTAGAATGTTATTGCAGATTATTTAAAGGTTCCTACTTTCTAAAAAAGGGCCCTCATAACATCCTAGCTTGAGTTCAGAAAAGTGGCCATAACTTGATTTCCGTACGGTAAACTTTGTTTAAATTTTGCATACAGGTGTACTTTAAGGTATACATCTGACTTATGATGTCAATTTTTTAGTTCCTGATAGTGCCCATTAGGGTCCTAATACCTTAAAGAAAACCAAAAAATATCAGTCAAAAGATAAATACATGAATGATAACCTTTTTCTTAAGACAAAATTTACCTTCTTTCAACCGTCTTTGTGCCATCAAGGTGATTTATTATCTTGTTGATACAATAATTATTAGGCGGCGAGCAAGGTGTGTGGGCAAATAGTTTCTCACATAGGAACTTGGGTCCTGAGCATACAGCACACATTGCTAAAAAATTGAAATCTCTATTAAGAAATAATGCAAATCAATCAATATACTCGTATTTTCATTTTTATGCTAAACCAAATATATAGATAACTTTAGTAAAGTTTTTTCTCGTCATTGTATACAGTTTCTAACTTTTCATGAAATGAAATTGTTAGGTGTTGTTTGGGAAGCCCTCGATCCTTCAGCACCATATGACGAGGACAATAATAAAAGAAAAAGAAAACTTTAGCAAAGCGTGTGCCGAGGGGTGGCTTGTAAGGGTTGGGGCATCAGAATTACACACACCGTTTATCCCTGAGGGATCCTAAGAGGCGAATAAATGGGTTTGAATAACTAAAGCCTATGCGTCTCTTGCCTCTAGCAGGTGAAGTTGTTTTGACCCCTGGTGATGAGATTAGCCAAAAGGCATATTTTCTGTTACGGCGCCACTGTCAAAGTGTATCGTTTTTCATTATCAAGAACATATTTCATTACTTTAGGTCTTAAATATTTGTGTATAAAGCTTAAGTTTTTATGCCATAAAATATTACTTGTAACTGGTGGTTTTGTCCAGGGCTGCTTCGATGTTGTACTTGTTTGTGTTGACAATGGTTGCCTCGTTGTGCTTGTTAAATTGTTGTCAGCGTCAAATATCAGGCGACGAGAACGGTTTTCTTCTAAATAAAAATGAAAAGTAAATGAAAATTAAGTACATTTTAGGTAACACAAGTTGTGTGGTTTGTGCATGACAGTAACTCAAAAAGGGTATTAAATATGTTGATCTTTTCCTTTTTATCATATACCTGTGCCGATTTTGCGACTCCGTAAAAATGATATTGCACGGCCGTGCATATATATTGACGTGACGTCATTAGCGTTATACAAACATAGTGTAAAGACCCGATAAATGTTAACGTTAAACTATAGGCGCGTTAATGAGAACTGACTTTCATTTCACATTAAACGGTCTTTATTTTGGGTATCTTATAAATGGAATATTAGATTCGTGTAAGTTCATTACTGAATTTATTGCACTAGTTGAATAAAATAATAGTATGCTCGCCAGAGGCTCGCATAATATAATTTTATTCAACTCGTGCAAAAACTTCAGTATTGAACTTACACTCATTCAATATCCTCTATTTATTTGTTAGCATATGACAATAGACGGAAATAAATGACATACAAGTACAATTATAGAATACTATGAAAAGACAGCTCATTCTCAGATATCAAGTATGTGATTGGTCTGAAATCTGCACATACTATATAGTTATAAACTGACCAATAAAAATCTTAAGATTTGGGGAAGAGATCAAAAATGAAATATTATAACACCTACGCCAGGTGTGTGAGGTATTAAGCGAACAGCGTTGAGTAAAGATAAGTCATGTTTAGGTTCTTCCTGTCTAAAATGATTTGGATCGATTTTTCTATATCTCCACAATTATTTTAAAGGTATGGTTAATCAAAATCTCATATCCCTTTTCAAATTTCTATTTTGTTTAGTTCCGCCCATTGTTTTCTAATTAAGTGTACACGTTTTCTTTTACTTGGGGACCATATTCCTCTTTTCATAGAATGGTACGATAGTGTCACATTAAATGTATAACCGCCATATGAATACGGATGTTTCTATATTCAAAATTTCACCATCTTCGTGTTCAAATGTTGCAATATTGCTTAAGCCAGTGCTAGTGGGCGTGAACGGCAACTTGCACTTGACAGTACAGTACATGAACAGGCAATCAAACCGAGCCAGCAACATTTTAAATGTGTCTCTTGGCGTTCTTTAGCGATTCCTTTTTTCTCTATTTTACATGTTGTGATATACAAAATATTTCAATTTTCTTATCTAATTTTTGTCACACATATCTAATTAAGTCTTATCAGAACCGCATTTAATGCCGAACGTGATTATTTAAACGGAAAATATTTGAAATATTTCAAAGTTTGGTACAATGTTTGAGTTATATATATCTAACGAGTGCCACTATAATGTACGCTTACCCATTGATGATGCATTAGCCACTACTAGTGAAACACATACGAGGATTACAATCCGATGTTTAAACATTATTAAAACTGTATAAGTACTATCCTAGATTCTTTGATGAAAATAAAATAATGACACAATAACTTGTTTAGCTGGCTATATCTTATCTTCATTATCACAGTGTTAAAAATTGTAACTTGTTACTGAATCTTAAAAAGCCCTATAATCTGGCCAAAACAGGCCATATATAAAATATTATAGTTCATTTCAGCGAAAGGAACAAATATTTTATGTCTGTAGTAAAACGGATAAATAAAATGTACAAATATAAAATTTATATTGTACCAAAATGACGTGTAGTATAGTCATACATTGCTTCTGCTTCTTCTTCTTCTTCTTCCTTTTCTTCTTATTGTTTTTGCGTTGTAATATTTATTTATTTTAAATGTTCAAACCCGGATTGGCATGATCTTTTATTAGGAGTGAGTGACAGTATGCAGGTAGGATTAAGCGCACGTTTAACTTATTTTTAGAATATGATATACAAGGCCACGACGGTCAGTCCATTCTTTGATTTTAAGTATTACTGTATGGGTGATGTGTTCTCTAAATATCACGTACATGAATCATTCAAATTTCAGTTAGAGGTACAAATATATACTGAATTATTGCAAACACAGTTCTTACAATAGGAAAAACAATGTTATTAAGTTATATATCTGCAGCAAAATTATTGTTTGAATTTTTTTAAAAAAAAGTTGAATAAATCGAAAATGCTTGTATGAAAGAAATATGATAGTGAATTGCCTAAAAGCGAATGACAGAGGCACGAAATCATTGATAAAATGTTAAAACCCTATGGAAAATAGCAACGTTACATTGTGTAACAAAACATTTTATTCTCTAATATTCATGTGTGTTGAATAACAGAGACATGTTAGAACCAAGAAAAATAATTGTTTCTGTTAGTCTTTGTTAACCCTTAGGTGACATTTTCGACACTTTTGTTCCCGGCATTTATTTCGTTTTTACGAATTATTGATTCGTAATTACAAAATATTAATAATTATTTACGTAATATATATTTGTTTTTTACGAAATATTTATTCGTTTTTTTACGAAATAATAATTCGTAAATACGAAATTTTAATTCGTTGTTACGAAATATTAATTCGTGTTTATATTAACTGTAATTACGAAAAAATTATTCGTAATTACGAAATATCAATTCTTTTTTACGAACTCTTATTGTCATTGTGATCTTGAAAAATCAACCTATCAACCGCACAATCAAAAGGGGTCAAATACAAGCCTGGACCAACTTTAACACCAAATATAACGATAATAAGCCGAATGGTTCTCAAGTCATTATATTTAAATGAAGAGGGTACTTGAGTGAAGAGTCATTCTCTTTTTCCCCATTTTCAAATTCATACTCGTATTTCCAACAGTTAGCAAAATTCAAAATGTTTTAATTTTAGAGACAATTATACTTTTCTGACATTTTTCTTTGAAAAGAAAACAAGATATATTTTTACTTTTTTTCATCATACACATAAGTAAAACTTAAAGGGGCTGGACTAAAAAAGTATATTTCCTAACACTTTATGTATGGGCACCGTGCGATCATAAAATCATGATATTTTCTTGCAAAACTCAATTAAATCGACAAAACGAAACGAAAAGTGTCCCAGTCTGGATTTGAAGCCCAGGAACCCAATTTTAACATTTTCTTCCTAGCGTGTGTACCATTGCGTTTAGGTATGACTTAGGGAATCACTATTTATACTTTGTTTACATGCTTTATGATTATAAGAATAATATTATAAAATCAGGAACTTGTAAAATAAAACAACAATAGCAACGATCAATAAGGGAGAACGACGTTCAAACAATGCTTAGTCAGACATGACCACCGACCATAAACCTGGGCATAGACAGAAAGGGTTCTCAGTCATGATTGTTATTTTCAAACGGAGCATAATGAGTGTTTTCTTTTTTTCTTTTTTATTTTGTAAAACGGCTTTAGTAGAAAACGGACAGTAATATAATCAAAAAAGGAATGTCTGTATGTCGTCCGACATGACAAAAGTAAACATTTCGCATTTTCAATATCATTTAGCTTGTTCATTGGACGGCATAGATAAATCCATGCTACCGTCCTTGCCCCTTAGATCAGCTTGATCATATTTCAATAAGATATACATGTATACACATTTGGCTTTTCTCGTAGGACGTTCATTCCACAAGGGGCGTTGTATGGTCCCTAAACTTGTAAATGAAAGTGCATGTAATAAACAATATAACAATGGAAAGAGCTTAATAGAACCGAATTTGACAGGGTTATGAAGCCTGCCGTTTACCAATTACACTCATTGTTCCATCCTGTGCTCCTAAAAAGCAAACTCTCAAACAAATACATGAATACATTTCATGTTCTTATTCTAAGAATTAACACACTTAAGTTATACAAATCTGATAAGCAGAAACCCTAATTAAATACTAGCACCGATCTTGCGCATTGTAGATAAAGGCCTATTTATTTAGCCCCCTAAATGATATCAACTTTATTTCTCAAAAAGTTTCTTTTTATCTTGCTAGAGTTTCCAAAACTTTATTCATAAGCTATTTATGTGAAATATCTTTTGCTCCTTTTTCCTCTTTAGCAATTGGTACAATTTTAGTGATTAAGTGTTTTGTATGAAAGTCATAATATTACTTTGTTTACATTTTGTAACACTAATGACAATTTCTTGCACTTCATCTCTAATATATTCAGTTGTTTAACATCTAACTTGCTCTAAATCCATTACTAGAAATGAACACATGTTGAACCTGTCTAAAGAATTAAAATTTTACTGATTTCTTAGACATATTGTGCTTTGAAGAAGTATGGATAAGTTCTTATAATTTAATTTTAAGTCTCATATTGGTGGTCCTGAATATACTTATATCATAATGTGCCTCATAAATGAAAAAAGGAAACAATAAGACAGTTGTATGTGATAAATCAATACTATGACTCTTTACAACAAATTAGAGATCCTTGTATAGCGTGTCCCCTGAAGGATGGATTGGAATATTGCAATTGTCTGTAACACAGCAGTAGGTACATTCGAAGGAAGTAAAGTGAAAATCGTTGCCCTTGAATTGTCTGCATCTATCGTTATCCGATGATCCTTGGAACCAGTCTGTATAGCATGTTGAAAAGTTCCCGCAGCTAGATACAATAAATATATATATATATATATGTTATTTGTGCCTTTCTAAAACAGGTGGTAAATGTAGGGTGTGTATGCAGACAACTGTGTTAGTTAAGTTGTTTCTTACAATGTATGTTTATTTATTTAGATAAACTCATTATTTTACCATGTTTCATTTTTTTTTTATCCTTATCTTAAATGTAAAATCAAAGAAAAGAAAAAACTATCAGTCAAAGATAATTACATGAATGATAACTTGTTTTGCAAGACATTGTTTATATACCTTCTTTCAACCGTCCTTGTGCCATCAATGTAATTTGTTAACTTGTTGATACAATAATTATTAGGCGGCGAGCAAGGTGTTGGGGCATATAGTTGCTCACATAGGAACCGGGGTCCTGTACATACAGCACACGTTGCTAAAAAAATTTGAAATCTCTATTAAGAAAAAATGCAAATCAATCAATATATTTTCATTTTTATGCTAAAACCTTATATCACCGCCCGACAACTTTACGCTCAAATTTTCAAAATGTAGTATGTAGTATGCTGAAAAAACGAGCCCAAATCAGAACGGATGCCGATATTAAACGCGAGAAGAACTATTTAATAATTTAATATGTGTTTGTCTTTTTATGCATTTAATTTTTTTCGTTGTTTTTTGTTTTTCTTCAAAAACTGTCAGTGTAGTTCCTTGTAGGACTGATGAAGACTCCTAATGATTAGATCTGTTTCAAAAATGACAAATTAAACACGATTGAATAGTTTCCCCTCACGAAGTGAACGACGATTTCTTGAATACTGAACGTTTTAAACGATTGAAAATTACTTTCTCATTTACTTTTTTTGCTAATTGTTATTAGAAAAAAAATTTAACCACTTGTAACAAGAACCATTCCAAATTGAGCATTTTAAGCATTTGACGCGTGTGATATTATACATTGGTACTTCAATAAAGATGTGCTGAGGGTTTGCCTTTAAGTGTTAACGCAAGAGTATTGCAGCCACCGTTTATCTCTTCATGATCGTAAGAGGCGTCTAAATGGGATATATGCATCTCTTAGTCCCGACGGATGAGGTGGTTTTGATCCCCTGTGATGTTCTAAGTTTTTAACACCTGAGATAAACTATAAGCATCTTTCCTGTTTCGGCGCCATATATGGCTTAAATTGAATTTGTGTGCAAATAATAAGCAAGGAAGTGTGCAAATAATAAGTAAGGAAAAGCGTGGATCGGCAGCTTTGATTTATGTTATGATATTTGGGTCAAAATGTGCACAAAAGTTGAAAAACATGACATCCCAAAATAATCTAAATGACAAACGGCTGGTGAATCCAATATTGTAGCAAGCCCGTTAAAAATAATTTTCTGCATTTTCCTGTTCATCAAAGTGGTATTTTCGTGTTTTTTTCTAAAACATTATTTCATTGTAAATTTAAAGCTTCTGAATGAATTTTAGTGTGCATTGCCTGCGTGCGTGTGTGTGTCTAAAGAAATTTATTTGTTGCAATAAAATGGACTTGTAACTGGTAACGCCTGGGCTGCCTCATTTGTACTTGTTTTGTTGACAAATTGGTTGCCTTCAATTGTGGCTTGTTAAATTTTGTTCAGCGTCAAAATATTCAGGCGACGAGAAAACGGTTTTTCTTCTAAATAAAAATGAAAAGTAAAATGAAAATTACGTACATTTTAGGGTAAACACAAGTTGTTCGGTTTGTGCTGACGTAACTCCAAAAAAAGGGTTTAAAAATTGTTTCTCTTTCTTGTTAGCAATTTACAAAAGACAACAAGTACAATAAAAATACTAGAAAAAAAAACAGCTTAATCTCGATGTCAAAAGGTAATGTGATTGGTTCTAAAATCCTTGCACATACTTAGTTTTTATTATAAACCTGACCAAAAAAATCTTTAGATTTCAGGGAAAAGATCCCAAAATTGAAACTTTATAACAAACCTCAGCCTGCGTGTGTTTGGATGTTTTTAACGTCCAGAAACGCTCAATCAAACAGCCTGCAAAATTTTCAATTTTGTTGTGTTGACTTTCTTTTGGATTTCTATTTTTCTCGTATTTTATTGTCACATCCGTGTTATTTGTGCCGTGTGTGGCTGTTAAAAAGTCTTTCCCCGTACATTTAATCAATGATGTTATATTTTCGATCCTTGAAGATCGTTCAGCACGCCATAATGTTGTGTATACATGTTATGTGGTACTTTTCAGTTTCTTCTATTTGGGCCATTTTCAACTTGGGTGGTTCCAGTATTCCTACTTGAATACTGTTATAATCCCTTAGGATATGTTGCCTGCTTTTTTTTAAATTTTCTTTTGACGTCTTATCTGTGATATGCAGGCTTCATAACCTCAGATCCCCTTTCAAAATTCCGTTATTATTAGTTCCGCCCATGCTTTTCTTCGATATAGGGCAAAAAGCATTCCTTTCACTTGGGGACATACCCCGCTTTTCATGGAATGGCACAACTGTGTCACATTTGAAGCGTTCCATGATAACCGACCGTATGAACACATCTGCGGATGTTTCTTAAATTCAAAATTTCAACCATTTTCGTGTTAAATGTTGAATTCGCTTAAACCGGTAGGGGCGGCGTGGACGGTAACTTGCCTTTCCCAGGACCGTTCCATGAACAGGCTCAATCAACAACCGAGGTCCAACAATTTTTCATTTTTTTGGGTGTTTTGACTTTCTTTAGGGATTTAAAATTTTTCTTTTTTAAGGGACAGGCGTTAAGAAAAGAAAGCCATGTTGAGATTCTTTTCCTACCTAAAATGATTGGATCATTTTCTAGATCTCCACAATGACTTTGAACCGTATGGTTAATCAAAAAGCTCCGTATTCCCCTTTTCAAATTTTCTATTTTGCCTTAGTTCTGTTCATTGTTTTCTCATTTAGGGTACACGCTTTCTCTTACTAGGGGACCTTATTCCGCTTTTCATAGAATGGCACGATAGTGTCACATTAAATGTTTCATTTTAACGCCATATAAACGGCTGATTCTAAATTCAAAATTTACTATATTCGTGTTTAAATGTTGCATTTTGCTTAAGCCTGTGCTCTTTGGCGTCAACGGCAACTTGCACTTTCTAGAACTGTACATGAACAGGCTCAATCAAACCTAGCCTGCAACATTTAATTGTGTCGTATTGGCGTTCTTTAGGGATTCCTTTTTTCTTCAATTTACATGTTTTAATTTTACAAAATATTTCAATTTTTTTATCTAATTTTTGTCTAAGTCTTCTAAGTCTTATCAGAACCACATTTAATGCCGAACGTGATTATTTAAACGGAAAATATTTGAAATATTTCAAAGTTTGGTGCATTTTAAGAGTTATATATATGTAACTAGTGCCACAATAATGTACGCTTACCCATTGATGATGCATTAGCCACTACTAGTGTCACACATACGAGGAATACAATCCGATGTTTAAACATTATTAAACTGTATACCGTAAAATCTTAGATTCTTTGTTGAAAATGAAATAATGACACAATAACTGGTTTATCTGTCTACAAATTCAGCATAAGTCTTATCTTCATTATCACAGTGTTAACAATTGTAACTTGTTACTTTATCTTAAAAATCCCTCAAAGTCTGACGAAAACAGTCCATATATAAAATATGATAGTTCATTTCAGCGAAAAGAACAAGTATTTTATGTCTGTATTGAAACGGACAAATAAAATGTACAAATATTTATATTGTACCAAAATGGCGTGTAGTATAATCATACATTACCGTTCTTCTTAATATATGACCACATATTTGCGTTTTTCTTCTTTTTCTTTTTCTTTTTCTTCTTCTTTTTCTTCTTCTACATCTTCTTCCACTTGTTTTGGGGTTGTTGTTTATAATTTATTTATCTATTTATTTTTTATTTATTTTTTTGTTTATTTATTTATTTATTTAAAGCTTGACTAAATGTTCAAATCCGGATTGACATGGTCTCGTATTAGGAGTGATAGCATGCGGGTAGGATTAAGTGCACGTTTAACTTATTTTTAGAATATGGCATACAATGCCACGACCTTGCATTTTTGGTTAGTCAGTCCTTTCTTTGATTTTAAGTAATACTGAATTGGTGGCGTGTTCTCTGTATATACCGTATCATAATCATAATAAAAATGTTATAACGATTTTAATAGAATATACATGAATCTTTCAAATTTCAAATAGGGCTACAAATATATACACATAGACATGTATGTAGAAATCTTACAATAGGAAAGATATATGTAATTAAGCTATATATCTGCAGCAAAATATATTTTTTTGAATTAAATTAAATCGAAAATGCTTGTATCAAAGAAATATGATAGCAAATTGCGTAAAAAGTGAATGACGCAAGCACGAAATCAATTATAAACACTGTTAAACCCTATTTTTAATAGCAACGTTATATTTTGTAACGAAACATTTTATTCTGTTGACATTTCTTATATACATGTGTGTTGAATAACAGAGAGATTCTATGTTAAAATTAAGAAAAATAATTGTTTCTGTTAGTCTTTGTTACGTACGGGAGCCCCTAAGGTGACATTTTCGACACTTTTTCTGGAACTTTTTACGTAATATTATTCGTTTTTACGAAATGAAAAATCGTTTTTACGAAATATTTATTCGTAATTATGAAATATTGTTTCTTTTTTTACGAAATATTATTTTTTAATATTAATTCGTAATCACGAAATAATAATTCGTTTTTATGAAATATTTAATCCTTTTTTACGAAATATTTATTTGTAATAACGAGATATTAATTCGTTTCTACGAAATTGTTTTGTCATTGTGAGCTTGACACAGAATAACGATTATAAGCCGAATGGTTCTGAAGTTATTAATTTTGAGTGAGTGAGAAGTCATTCTCTTTTTCCCCATTTTAAAATGCATATTCACAACAGCTTGCAATATTCAAAATGTTTTAATTTGAGAGACAATCTTTTCTGGTATGTTTCTTCAAAAAGAAAAAGGCTATATAGTTACTTATTAATACAAATTAATAAAAGCTAAAGGGGTAGCCATCAGACTGTATATATCCTTACAATTATGTATGGACACCGTGCGATCATAAAAATGTGATATTTTACTTAAAACGAAAACGACGAAACGAAATGAAAAATGTCCGTGTCTGGATTTGAAGCCCAGGACCCCATTTTTTCCTATCGCGTGTACTATCACGTACGGGGCGTTGCATGGTCGCTAAACATGTAAATGAACGTACATGCAAAAAACGAGATAACATGCGACAGAGCTTAATGGAACGACATTTAACAGGGTTATGAAACCCGCTGTGTACCAACCACATACTGTGTAATTTCATTGTTCTATCCTGTGTTCCTAAATGGCAAACTGTGAAACAAATACATGAATATAATTTATGTTCTTTCGATAAGAATTAACAAGTTTAAGTTATACAAATTTGATTAGTAGAAACACAAATTAAATGTTAGCACAGATCTTCCACATGGTAGATAAATTCCTATTTATTTAGCCCCCCGAAATGATATCAACTATATTTCTCAATTTTTTTTATTATTATTATTTTTCTTTGGGAGGGGTATCGTGTAAAAGTTTCCAAAACTTTCTTCATAAGCCATATATGTGAATTACCTTTGGCTCCTTTTTCCTCTTTAGCAATTGGTATATTTATAGTGATTAATTGTTTTGTATGAAAGTCAGGTATTACTTTGTTTATATTTGGCAACTTTTATAACACAATTTTGTCCTTTCAGCAATAAAACATTCAGTTGTTTAACATCTAACTAGTTCTAAATCCATTGTTAGAACATTATTGAACAAGTGTTCAACCTGTCTAAGGAATAAAAATTTTACTGACTTTTTAGAAATAATTATGGACAAGTTTCATATATATTGATTGATAAGTCTGATATTGGTGATCCTGAATATACATGTATTATGCTTTGACTCATAAATGAAAAACAAGGAAACAGTAATGTAGTTGTGTTTGATAAAGTAACAATATGACTCTTTACAACAAAATCTTGTATAGCGTGTCTACTGGAGGATGGAGTCGACTATTACAGTTGTCTGAAACACAGCAGTAAGTACATTCGAAGTCAAGCCTTTGGTAGTCGTTGCCGTCGAATTTTCTGCATCTATCGTTATCCGATAGTCCTTCGAACCAGTCTCTATAGCATGTAGAAAAGTTTCCGCAGCTAGATATAAAAAATACTGTATGTTAGGTGGTTTCTTACTAAACCTTGGGTGGTAAATGCAAGGTGCGTATGTGTTAGTTAGTGTGTTAGTAAGTGGTTTCTTACACAAACGGTGGTAAATGTAATATCCTTATTTAGACAACTCGTGATTTTAGCATGTTTCAAATTATCTCTATCCTTATATTAAATGTAAAATACGTTTGTGCATTGAAAATCAAAGAAAACAAAAAATAACAGTCAAAGATAGTCACATGAATGATAACTTGTTTCACAAGACATTGTCTGTATTTACCTTCTTTCAACCGTCCTTGAGCCATCAATTTCATTTTTTAACTCGTTGATTCAATAATTTTTTAGGCGGCGAGCAAGGTGTGGGGGCAAAAAGTTTCTCTCATAGGAACCAGGGTCCTGAACATACAGCACACATTGCTAAAAATTGAAATCTCTATTAAGAAAGAATGCAAATATATCAATATATTCTCATAAACCTTATATCAATATCACGCCCGGCAAACTTACGCTCAAATTTCAAAATGTAGTATGTAGTATGCTGAAAAACGAGCAAATAGAACGGGAGCCGATATAAAACGGATGTAAGAACTATTTAATAATTTAATATGTGTTTGTCTTTTTATTCATTGAAGTTTTTTTTTTTTTTTTTTTTGTTTTGTTTTTTCAAACGGTGAATGAAGTTCCCTGTAGGATTGTTGAAGGCTCCCAATGATCTGCGCTGTTGCAAAAATGGGAATTAAATTAAACTCGAGAGGACATTTTTCATCTGACGAAATGAACGACGATTTCTTGAATACTGAACGTTTAAACTTTAAAAAATGCTCGTCTCTTTTGATTTTGTTGAAAACGTGTATTAGAAAAATAACTACCCGTAACAAGAACTTGTCATTAGAGCGTAAGCTTGTCGGGTATGATATAAACATGTAGGTAACTTTAATAAAGCGTGTGCTGAGGGGTTTAGGCAAGAGAGGTGGCTTTGATCCCCTGCGATGTTCTAAGTTTGTAACACCTGAGATAAACTATAATCATATTTCCTGTTTCGGCGCCATATATTGCTTTAATTGAATTTGTGTGCAAATAGTAAGCAAGGCAAAACGTGGGATAGCTTTCATTTCAGTAATGCTATTTGTGTCAAAATGTGCACAAATATTGAACATGACCATCCACAAAATAATTCTAAATGACAAAACACTAGGGATAACATTGCTATTCTAAATCATAACAATCAAGCCTGTTAATAAGAATTATCTACATCTCGCGTATCGTGTTTCATTCTCAAGAACACATTTCATTATAATTTAAGCTTTTGAATGTGTGTGTGTGTGTGTGTGTGTGTATGTGTGCGTGTGCGTGTGCGTGTGCGTGTGCGTGCGTGTGTGTGTGTGTGTGTGTCTAAAGAGAAGTTTATTTGTGTCATTAAATGTTACTTGTAACTGGTGGTAACGTCCTGGGTTGCTTCGATGTTGAACTTGTTTGTGTTGACAATGGTTGCTTCATTGTGCTTGTTAAATTGTTTTCAACGTCAAATATCAGGCGACGAGACCGGTTTTCTTCTAGATAAAAAGAAAAGTAGATTAAAATAAAGTAAATTTTAGGTAACACAAGTTGTGTGGTTTGTGCATGACAATAACTCAATAAGGTTATTAAATATGTTGATCCTTTTTCTTTCATTTGTTAGCATATGACAATAGACTGAAATAAATGACATACAAGTACAATTATAGAATACTATGAAAAGGCAGCTCATTCTCAGATATCAAGTATGTGATTGGTCTGAAATCTGCATATACTTTATAGTTATAAACTGACCAATAAAAATCTTAAGATTTCAGGAAAAGATCAAAAATGAAATTTTATAACACCTACGCCAGGTGTGTGGAGTATTAAGCGAACAGCGTTGAGTAAAGATAAGTCATGTTGAGGTTCTTCCTGTCTAAAATGATTGGGATCGATTTTTCTAGATCTCCACAATGACTTTAAACGTATGGTTAATCAAAATCTCATATCCCCTTTCAAATTTCTATTTTGTTTAGTTCCGCCCATTGTTTTCTCATTAAGTGAACACGTTTTCTTTTACTTGGGGACCATATTCCTCTTTTCATAGAATGGCACGATAGTGTCACATTAAATGTTCCATTATAACCGCCATATGAATACGGATGTTTCTAAATTCAAAATTTCACCATCTTCGTGTTTAAATGTTGCAATATTGCTTAAGCCAGTACTAGTGGGCGTGGACGGCAACTTGAATTTTCCAGTACCTTTCATCAAACCGACCCTGCAACATTTTATTGTGTCGTATTGGCGTTCTTTAGGGATTCCTTTTTTCTCTTTTTAGCTCACCTGTCACAAAGTGACAGGGTAAGCTTTTGTGATCGCTTTTCGTCCGGCGTCCGAGCAAACATTTGATATTTATGAGCTTCATTCCGTAGTTAAATAAAGAACAAAAACTCATAAAATTTAAATTAAGAGCTGTTTTTTAGCTCACCTGTCACAAAGTGACAGGGTGAACTTTTGTGATCGCTTTTCGTCCGGCGTTCGTCCGTCGTCCGTCCGTCCGTCCGTAAACTTTTACTTTAAATGACATCTCCTCATAAACCACTAAGCCAATTTAATCCAAACTTCACAGGAAAGTTCCTTTGGTGGTCACCTTTAAAAATTGTTCAAAGAATTTAATTTCATGCAGAACTCTGGTTGCCATGGCAACCGAAAGAAAAAACTTTAAATATCTTCTTTTAAAAAACCCAAAGACCTAGAGCTTAGATATTTGGCATGAAACATCTTCTAGTGAGTATCTACCAAGTTTGTTCAAATAATATCCCTGGGGTTTAAACTGGCCCCGCTCCGGGGGCCTTTATACAGGTGAGAGACCCCAGGGCCATGATGGCCCTCTTGTTGTTTTTATGAGCTAAATTTAGCTTATGGACTTACGTCTAGGTGTAGTTTATGAGCTGATTTGGGAAAAACTTTAATTGGGGAAAAACTTTAATTGCTTTTTAGCTCACCTGTCACAAAGTGACAGGGTGAGCTTTTGTATCGCTTTTCGTCCGGCGTCCGAGCAAACATTTGATATTTATGAGCTTCATTCCGTAGTTAAATAAAGAACAAAAACTCATAAAATTCAAATTAAGAGCTTTTTTTTATGAGCTAAATTTAGCTTATGGACTTACGTCTAGGTGTAGTTTATGAGCTGATTTGCCTCTTAAATATAAAAAGTTGGTACGTCCGTCCTCCGTCCTTAAATGACATCTCCTCATAAACTACTAAGCAAATTTATCCAAACTTCAGAAAGTTCCATTGATGATGGTGAACACCTTTGAAAATTGTTCAAAGAATTTAATGCCATGCAGAACTCTGGTTGCCATGGCAACCAAAAGAAAAAACTTTAAATACCTTCTTCTAAAAACCCCAAAGAGCTAGAGCTTAGATATTTGGCATGAAACATCTTCTAGTGTCTACCAAGTTTATTCACATACAAGCCCTGGGGTCAAAATTGGCCCCACCCCAGGGGGTCATTGATTTTCCCTATATGCATATAGTAAAAACTTTCAAAATCTTCTTTTAAAGAACCCAAAGAGCTAGAACTAAGATATTTGGCATGAAACATCTTCTAATGGGTGTCTACCAAATTTGTTTAAATAAAAGCCCTTGGGTCAAAATTGGCCCCAACCGGCCAGGGGGTCATTAATTAACCTCATATGCATAAAGCAAAAACTTAAAAATCTTCTTTTAAAGAACCCAATGAGCTAGAGCTAAGATATTTGGCATGAAACATCTTCTAATGGGTGTCTACCAAGTTTGTTCAAATAAAAGCCCTGGGGTCAAAATTGGTCCGGCCCCAGGGGTCATTGATTTTCCCTATATGCATATAGTAAAAACTTAAAAAGGTCCTTTTAAATAGAGCTAAGATATTTAGCATGAAACGTGTTCTAATGGATGACTACCAAGTTTGTTCAAATAAGAGCACTGAGGTCAAAATTGGCCCCGCTCCGGAGGTCATTGACTTTCCTTATGTGTGTATATAGCAAAAACTTTAAAAATCTTCTTTTAAAAAGCCCAACGAGCTAGACCCTTAGATTTTTAGCATGAAACGGAAAATATTTGAAATATTTCAAAGTTTGGTGCAGTTTAAGAGTTATATTTATGTAACGAGTGTCACAATAATGTATGGTTACCCATTGATGATGCATTAGCCACTGCTAGTGTCACACATACGAGGACTACAATCCGAAGTTTAAACTATATACAGCACTATCTTAAATTCTTTAATGACACAATAAATGGTTTATCTGTCTACAAATCCAGAATAAGTCTTATCTTCATTATCACAGTGTTAAAAACGTGTTACTTAATCTTAAAAAGCCCTCTAATTCTGACCAAAACAGGCCATATCTAAATATTATAGTTCATTTCAGCGAAACAAACAAGTATTTTATGTCTGTATACATTGTACAAATATTTATATTGACGGAATGTACCAAAATGGCGTGTAATATAATCATACATTACGGTTCTTCTTATTATATGACCACATATTTGGGTGTTTTCTTCTTCTTCTTCAGCTTATTCTTCTTCTTCTTCTTGTTTTGGGGTTGTTTTTTTATTTATTTATTTATTTATTTATTTGAAGCTTGACTAAATGTTCAAATCCGGATTTACATGATCTCGTATTAGGAGTGACAGTATACGGGTAGGATGAAACGCACGTTTAACTTATTTTTAGAATATGATATACAATGCCACGACCTTGCATTTTGGTTTGTCCATTCTTTGATATTAAGTTATATTACATGGGTGGCGTGTTCTCTGAATATGCCCATATCATAATCATAATAGAAATGTTATAACGATTATAATAGCACGTACATGAATCTTTCAAATTTCAATTAGGGGAACAAATATATACCGAACTTATTGCAAACATAGACATGTATGTAAAAATCTTACAATAGGAAAAATAAGCTTTATATCTGCTGCAAATTTATTGTTTTGTTTGAATTTTAAAAAAAGAATAAATCGAAAAATGCTTGTATGAAAGAAATATGATAGTAAATTGCCTAAAAAGCGAATTTCGCAAGCACGAAATCATTGGTAAACTGTTAAAACAGTATCAAAAATTACTTCAAACGTATTTTTTTTTAATCTGAATCGGTGTTTAGATTAAAATTGGAGGAATGATAATCTGTTACATGAAGAAACGGTCCATTTCAAAGCTGAAATCGCTAACTGGGAAACGCCGCCACAACTACATTTCAAAACAATTATAACAACTTTACATTTTCTGGAAACTTTAATCAAACCTACAGGGCATAGCTTTCTCCGAATTTCGATATTTAGTGTAGAGTTTACAAAATATATAGAAAATGAAAACACTTGACATTTGATTTTAGCGACATGCACTAGCTCGGAAGTAGCGATAGAGCGATTTACCGTATACCTCCGAAAGAGGTAGCTCTATCATTTACCAGGCGTGAACATTATATTTTGTTACAAAACATTTTATTCTGTTGACGTATGTAATATACATGTGTGTTGATAAAAAAGAGACATTCTATGTTAGAATTAAGAAAAATAATTGTTTCTGGTAGTCTTTGTAACGAATTCTACATTCAAATTCTTCATTAAATCCTACATTAAAATACTACATTAATTTCTACATTGAATGCAAAACCATGCTCTTTTGAGATTAACCCATGTATTAAACGTCAACAAGTTTCTTAATAAATCTAAGCCTGATGGCGCCTATTTTTTAAAAATGGAAAATTGCAATAGCGCACAGAGCAATAGCACATATAGATAAGACAATTATGATACGAGTAGAATAAGATATGTAGCTTTCATTCACAGTTACTACGATCTCTTCCTCGTCATCTATTAAATCCTCGTCATGATCATAATTACTGTCACTGAAATCAGTCTTATCATTTATATTCTTTTCAGTTACATTATAAAACGATTTAAACGGTTGACTGGCAGTTCCAAAAAGTGTTAATGCTAAATTCTTCACCTCTAGTTGTTCTGAAAAAGAATACGATGTTGGTTTTAATATCACACTTGAAAAGCAAAATTCTTTCCATAAAATGTTGATGTTTTACTCTATAAAATTTTTCAACTTTTTATTATAATTATTACTATTATTATTATTATTATTATTATTATTATTATTATTATTATATTATTATTATTATTAAAATCAGCCCCTAAATAACGCTACAAATAAGGACCTAACATTCACCGAAAAGGCATTTTCTCGTAGTCTTTCAAACAACCAATTATTGGCGAGCTTTCATTATTTTGAAGTGAAGCGGTTTCTAATTTTTACCCTTAGAATACCAATACTTAGTAGGTACTTTTCGGGATTTCGAGAACAACCATGACGTTGTCCATATAGCCGACAGGTAAACTGTCGATACAATCTTGCCCATTATAATTTAGTCTATTATTTCAAGTTAATTTGTTAAAAATTAATTCAAAAATTTTTTTAAACAAAAATCAACAAATTGTTTAACTTCCACGGATAACTGTATTTTGATACTTCTTCTTATAATTATACCTACCTGTAAAAATCGCACTGATTGCATGGCTAAACATAGCTTTCTCGGGAAATCCAATACTTAAAAAAAGGCGAAACATATACGGTCGTCATCAGATCTACATGGAAGTAATATGTAGATTTGAACTTTAGTCAGATTGATTATTATTGAAAAGAACAATGAATATGAATAGACCGGTGAATGATAAAATCTTCTCTTCAAGATATTGCGTAGTTACAATTTCAACAAGTTTTATGTAAAAGAAGGAAACACATCTAGAAAAGATATGAACTCCACAGAGGAATACATACTTTGATTTATGGCATGGCTTATATTGACAACAAGTGTCCAGTTTCCTGCAGGGTTTTCACCCCAAAAATGAACTGACGTAAAATTCCATATTCTCCATCCTCGTAAGTTTTTTTTACGATTCACATTTTCTTTGCGACTAAGTAGCTGAGAACAAGTCCGGTGTGGTGAACAAAGATCAATGTCAAGTAAGTCGTCATGCTGTTTTGTATAGCTTAGACTTATTTGCACATGTTCTAAATTGTTTATACAGTCTTTATTGACAGCACATGGGTCAACTTGTAGGTAAGTGCGTATAACATTTTCACGAGGCAACCTGTAAATAAATAAGTAAATTATGACATAATACAGAATAACATTATCATTATAAGTATACTACGCAGCTAAGCATCGGCGGGGGTAACAAAATAAAATATTCAGAAGGCAAGAAAACACTTTTAGAATACTTTCAAAATTTATGTTTGTCAAGCAATTCACTCATGACTAACTGGTATTATTCCAACACTTCATTAACACCAGTTTGCATAAAAAAACGAAATAAGATGACCAATGAAGTAATACATTAGGGTTTAAATTAAAGTGTTAATTTTATCTTAGCTTTCAAAAATTACTATTCGCCGTCAAATTCACATATGTTTCATGAAACATACTCTTTCGAGAACAATAAAATCAATAACTTTAAGATAACGCTTGCAGACTCGACTTGATTTCGTCTGTTTATGAAAGGTTACGGATTGTGCAAAATCTCGCACGCCTTTTAGTACCAGCTTAAGTAATATTTCTTAGGTCACTCTGCAAAATCTATGTATTTTACAATCTTTGTTGTAGCATCAAACACAGTTTTCGTAAACTTTGAATTTACTGACCGTATCTGCAATTGCGCTTCTTTGACTGTCTTCTGTTTTTGTGGTGGTACATTTGTCCAATTTCTTGCCATAAGTGTCATTTTTGCAGCATTCATTAATCCAAATCCAAAGAAAGAATCAACTGAAAATATAAAGTTAATGACTGTATGAAAATTATTTATTTAAAAAAAAAATTAATTTGCCTAAAAATTTAAGGCTTGTAATGAATGATTGGGTTTTATGATCATTTTCTTTTACTTTGAAGATATTCTACCTGTGTTTAGTGCCTTGTTTGCATTTTTTCAATAATTTCTTAGTTAAATGTCTGTTGATCTACATCTTTCTTTAATAGAATAAGATTTTTGAGATAAAACATGGTAGTTTCAGGAAAAAAAAATTGGATGCCATTTAGTTCTTGTTCGATTAAAGATTGTAGCCTATATATTTCAACATGATACAGTTACATTTATAGTTTACTTTAATGTGTCACTATAACTTACACTGTAGCCCAGCGGCATTTTTCTGAAGTTGTCCGGTGTTTTCTAGTCTTTCATGTGAGGCTGACAATACAATAATGTGTTGTAAATCTCTCCATGTAATGTTAGGACTGAAAAAGTGTTGTTATATACCAAGGTGATTTAGTAATATTCATATTTTACCTTGCACAGAAATGTCTTAGATATATTGATATTTTCATCAATTATAAATGCCATATTGAATTCTAGATAACATATAACTTTATATGATAAATCTAACAAAGAGTCACACTTGTGTACGCTTTGGGATAGCTACAAATGATTGAGGTGTAATAATTTTATATCTTTTTACGAAACTATGAAACTGCTTTCATTTTGTTTAGTTTAAAATGACCACTTAAAAATAGACAAAAGCTCAAAACGTGAATGTCATTACAACAGTCGAGCGTTCCATGGTTTTCATACTCACTTTGCCTGTAGAGTTAAAGCAATTATACCAGAAGCTAAAGCAGTTGAAGCAGACGTTCCCCTAAAATCATCACACTTGTTGTCATGCGTTGTAGTCTCCTGTGTTAAGCAAAGGAAAACAACAATCATGGTACCTTAATGACCTTATCGGGGCTACATTCTATTGGAACGTCCAACTTATTATTCATAATCAAACTGATGGAAAGGACCAAAAAGTTGTGACTGGGCTACATTAAGCTTAGGTTTACGAAATACATTTCATTAGACAAAAACGTCTCCAATAATTGAATCAAATAATCTATATAATGCACTGACAGCAAGAATTCTTCTTATGATTACATACTTGCCCCTTTTCACTTTCATTTGTGATGTATCAATGTAATTGAGGTCAATATCAAAGCGAACAGTTATATACTTAATGTTATTCTTGTGTGTATTTTTCTCAAATATGTATTGAAATGTTACCAAGGGATGATACTGAAAAATTTGTTTTTTGCGTACTTCTAATATTTCTATATATACATGTACATAGCTTACTAGTTTCCCATGTCCGTTTAGAGTTTTAAAACTCCCCGTAAGTGGATGCCAAGGTAGAGGCACATGGAATGGTATATAAGGGTCTTTGATCCGTTCTTGCCAACACTTGAGATGGTGACAGTGTATATGCTGCTAGCCAGAGTTTCTATGTTACAATCATGTATATGACCTTGTCTATTTCCTGCAGAAAACACAAAGATGTTTCCTCTACCTTTTCGACCCTTTAACAGAAATAATAATTTGTGATTTTTTTACGAGAACAATGTACTAAGACATAAATCAATTACATTCATCAACTAGTTCAGAAACAGCTTGTGAGCATTCAAATTTAATATGTTACATTTTCATTCAAAAATAGTATAGATCATATGGTGACTTTCCAGCTATACTGTTGGAGGAAAATCTCAGGAGCCTTTCTGTGCATTATTTCAGCCACGAACGGACACCTTAGCAGAACCGCCGACATGCCGTAAGCTAGCTGGATAACTTCCTCGCATGAAAAAAATGGCCTGAATCCAACTACCTTTACTACTCGGACACGGACGCCCCTCAAGGTATTACATTCGTATCCTTAGTTCAAAGACATAAAGCCCAAAAGGCAATCTAAATGAAGGAGAACAGCAACAAGTTTTAGTTTTAATTTTTCAGCAACTTGTGTTGTTTACTTTGCAGCCTAAATTATTCTTTACTAGGAAAACACAACTTCAATTAACGAAATAATATTACCTTTGTAATGCCTTCTTTAAGAGCTGATTTCATGTCTAGTGAAGCCTTTCTAAATTTACCAGCTAGATTGAAACTGCATGAATATATATCTATTTCATCCCTTTTATAAGCAATAGCCGATGGAATATGTTCTGTTGATAAGGCAAATCCATGAATCATCCATGAAACGGGACTCTCGCCAGGATGGAACACTTTTAAAGCTAAAATATCAAAAGGGAACATTATCTTAAAATGCGAAAGATTAATGCATAATGAACGTTTCTACCGGTAATATCTTAATATATTTGTTTAGATTATTACGACAAATCAAATTGAAATAGTGCGTAAGTGTACCTATAATCATTATAAGAAACCTTAGACGTCACCTTTGACGGCCAGACCCGAAATTGATTAATATAAGCTTTCACTATTTGTTTCACAATCAAGCGAAAATTTATATGTTTAAACTAAACACTAGTCGAAATTCTTATTTCGATGTTTAAAAAAATCCAGAAACATTCGTATATAAGATATATAAGATAAGTTAAATTTTTGCTATACTGGAACATTTAAGGCAATACTGTAAAAATTGTAAGCATCATTGAAGATATCGAAAATTTATCATTCAATAAATTACACAATGGTAAAAACATTGTATACAAAAACACCAAAATGGAATTTAGATAAGTTAAATGTTTCTTGCACGTGTTGATTCAAGTAAAGAGATGTCTTGAATAATGTAAAAAAAGTAAACCTGCTACTTTTGACTGAAATGCTACTCCAGAAGAACATTTGTTGTTACCAAACACAGCAGCAATTAGTCCGGCAGCCTTTGTGCCATGGCTACAAAATATTCATTTTACATCTTTGCATATCAAACAAAATAATCTATATCACCTCACTGTCTAACGATACTGGGGATGCTCATGCAATATACACTTATTATACAAAACAAACCCTAATGTACGTAACTTTAAATGGACCTCATCATATTAAAAAAAGAGTATTTTAAGAGAATTGAGCTGTTTTACGAAGTTCACATGATTGAATTTGAATCGCTGATAAATCATGTTAATTATGAAAAAGAGTGTAAAATGATATTTTTACATATATTGTACAGTGTTAATTGTCGATCATAAGTTCATAAGTTCTGTTTAAGGTTTCTACTATTTTCAACAAACACTCTCTGTTGGTCTGTCTCAAAGCCTTTTTTGTTTGGTTTGTCAGTCCTTTTTGTTTGTTTTTTATCTTTGGTTATTATTTCATTCAGCTCCTCAAGGACCGCAAAGTTTAAGAAACTAACAAATGTTTAATAATGTTAATATAACAGGTAAAAACGTCTTACCTAGTAGCTTCTGATGTTTCGATGAAGTCTCTAAAACGTGGAGGGTAAACATGGCTATGGTTTTTGTCAACAAAACTATATGAAAGATCACTGGCCTGAAAATGATATATATACTCGTATATATAATTATGTATGCTATCAAATTAAGTAACATATTTAATGTGATCCATTTCTCGATTAGATTGTAAAGATAAAATGTTTTTTTTTACTTAATTTCCTTGACAAAGAAAAAACATGCAACATATATTGTTGCAAATTTATCTTTAGAGTTTGTAAATGCTTTGTATTATCCATGTTGCTCTCCGCTGATGAAGGTAATTAAAAAACAATATATTGATTAAGTAATTTGTGTTATAATTTAACAAGTGAACACATTACAATGCTAAGTATTCGGCTTTTCTGTTATTTTTAACGCTCATTAATTCGTCCTATGATGCCCTCAGATAAATGTACACTCTCCTATTGTATAAATTACTTGTGCTATCATTCTTCTAAGAACTTACAATGTTAGATTTTAAGTCAGGATGATCCACTTCTACTCCAATATCAACAACTGCCACGCTGACGCCATGTCCAGTGTAACCAAGTGACCAGGCTTCTTGAACAGCCATTCCATAGTATGGCCAGCATTGGCCTTTCTGCAAATACTATGTTATGACAACACGTTTTAAGCTTCATGCTTCCAAAAGAGACAAAATGTATAAAGAAAATCAAATTTGAGAAAAATGAAATAATATTTTAAGAAATTTAAAACGATTCAAGACTCAAGTAATTATGTTATGTGCTATTTATGACTGATTTTGCAATATTTATTTCCATATTTCTACTGTGTGACTAACGCACTAAAGGCTATGTTTGCATTTTTTGGGACTTTTTTGGTTATTTACTTAGATTGTATTTACCGTTTGCAGCGTGTCAATTACTTTTGTTGTTCATTTCACAATACAATGTACTTCTCTTTTAAATTTTAAAGTTTACATGAAAATTTACATTAATGTTCGAAACTGTATTTAAAAGTAAAATATCGTGAAGTGCAATAATAAAATATTATTCACACACACAACAACATTCACTTGAAATCTACAAGATATTTCTAGAAAAGTTAAGTATATGCAAAACATATGGTGATAAATACTTCAAAATCAGTTTTAAATGGCATATAACATGTTAATTATTTCTTTAAATTATTTAAACTTTTCTTAAAGGCTGATTTACATGAAATATTTTGACTAGTCTTGAGACATACAGCTCATTTCTTGTTACGGTGTTATTAAGTTGTTACATTTTATCGAAATCTAGTTCAGGAATATCCAAGAGCTATACATTTGTCAAAATAATAATCGAAATATTCAAACTCTATTTGATTTGTTCTGTTTTAGTTATAATAACGTTTGTTTTTTTCGCATTTAGTGTTCAATGCATTTACTCTAACTTAAAGAATAACAAAAAAAAAGAAAAACATGCAAAAGCATTTAACCAAAGGATGTGGTAACTATTTATGTTCTTAGTCCGCACATTTCAATACCAGATGATTTGGATTAAGTTTGCTTTGATTTAATACTACTCCCGAACCAGAACGTCTTTAAATGATGAAATAAACGTATCTATATTCTAATTTATTATTATGGAATTGATACTCACTATCATTATCGAATGCGAAAAATAATCAGTTATCTACCTTCACTTATCTGATCTTATCTATAATGGAATTATACTTGCAAATGCAGATCTCTTGCGTCGGAGTATCCATCTGCTGAACATTGTTTTTGCTGGTTCACTGGTTTGGTTTCCTCCGGTATGATATCTAACGATTCCCTTTTCACTTTTTTCAATGTTTAAAATCTGAAATGAAAAATGTGTCTTTTATAAACTCATAAACTTTCTTGTATTCTACTGTAGAATAAATTATTATAGATTCCTTATATGTATAGCGGCTGGCCTTTAGAGCTTGAACTTGGCACCTTGCATATCCCGAAACCCTTGCACATGAATAGACGATCCAATCGTTTGGACTATATTCGGGTGAAATTTAAAGTGTGTAATTGCATAATTCGCGTCCAAGTGCCCAGAAATTACGTGCATTGGCTTTCAATTGTCATTTTGAACTTATAGTTTGCGTCGGCGCTCACAAAGGTAAAAAAACGTACTTATTTATAAGTTTCAACGTGTCCGTCGGTGGCCAAAACATGAGTCTATTGCAAAAAAGAAGGTTCGCGGTGCTAGAAACCACGTGCATGTACTTTTGAAAATGTGTGAAAAAGTAACGACGCAATGCCGGGCTAGGGTTCAATAACATGCAATGTCCAGATCGCATGAACATGAAATGAGGCCCTACATAGGGAGGTCCCAACGTTTCCATTTTACTTAGGTCATGACATATTACACACGCATAAGTTATTTGTAAACTGTTATTCGCATATTTTAAGTATTTAACGTGAGATGCGGGTGAAAATATGGGACCACCATTGTCATGTCACGACATACCTGTAATATATACTAGTAATTCCTATGATTATAAATCTGATTGTATAACCTCAAAATGTTTCTAAATACCAAACACTGATTTAAACAAAAAACATGAAAGGTTACCTTGTCAACGAAAAAGCCCTTGAAAGCCTTTATATCAACTGTGATGCCCTCTGTGGGTGACATATTCCCTTCGAACAAGAGTATGTTGGATACAAGCTACAATGGATTCAAAATCATATTATACTTACTTACAATTTTGTATAATGTATTAAAGCAGCACGCCTCCAAATTCATGCTAATTTTCATGAAAATTTTGAAAATGTTGTTGAATGTGTATTATTGTGAAGTAGCCAAAAGGAAGCAATTTATATATTATAAATGGCACTTACAAACCAAGTAAATTACCAAACAGTGGTCAATATATGCATAAATAGTCTTTACTGCGTTAGTAACGCAGTAGAAATATAGTTGTAAATATTAAAAAATTAGTCATTAATCGGACATTATATGTAAAATATTACTTGAATATTGAAACTTTTACATTTCCTTACACCTAAGTAGATTATTCTCAAGTTAGATTTTATTTTGATATTTTGACTTATCTGGATGCATGTAGCTTAAATTAATAAAAACTTTTGTCTGCTTGAATGTAACAAACTATTTACATTTTTTGTCATCTATTTGCAAGTTACAGTTTGCCTTTTGCTTAACTTCAGCACATGTGTTTACAATAACTGATGATAACCACTCAGATGACATCCTATTACTTACATATGATATTGAAATTATGTTTGTTTTAACGCAGAAAACATACGTTTTTATTGTCGATCTACTTAAATAATTATGTGTATGCGATGACGTCCGTTTGACCTTATTTGAAATGCATTTTCACCGCAGCTACATGTAATACCCGTCATGACTTTGATTGACACCGTGATTTTAAAGATAATGTAAATTCCTGGTAGAATTATCACCCACAAGATCAATCAGATGATTAAAACCCCAACAAACGCCTCTCGTTTAGGGTAAGGCTTTATCTAAACACTCACATAGCGATATGTCTAAACCCAGTGCAAACGTCCGAAGCTAGTGCTTGTTTTCAATCAATACTACATAATAACAGTTACGTCTTTTTATATTATTAATATACAAAGAGAGCGTGTATAGCTATATACCAAGTTTAAAACTTCCTACGGGTTATAACTACTTACTTGAATCTGACCATTTTTTTTTTGTTTTTTTTTGTTTTTTTTTTTGTTTTTTTTTTTGTCAATTTTAATTTTTATATTTTTTCAAAAGAACGGTTAGAGTATTAATAATTGCCTTTCAATTTTAAACGTATCGTTGAATATCGACAAAAGCAAGATAAATGAAAAACATTTTTTAAGATACCATTGTAGCACTTATCTTCAACAATACTGCTAAATGGTACATTTTCTGTACGGTGTATTTACGTTTTACATATCTGGCACGTTTTAACGGACGTATTTTTGTTGGACTGTTCCCATGTAAAATTGAATTACAATGTCTACATGTAATACTGCACATATGCAGGAGCGTAGTAAATTGTGGGGTTATTTTTCTCCATCATGATTTTTAATTTGTTTTAATGTTTTTACCGGTAAAATTTTGATCCCACACTAACTTGGCAACATTACAAAATTCAAAGTCACGCGCCGTTTTGAAGCCATACTGCGAAATTATAACTGGCTAACAGAACATCTTTAGATTTTTGGGAAGTGACGTTGAAATAGCTCACTGAAATATTAAACAATTTAATAATATATAAACAGCGTAAATCGTTATAAATTACGGACATTAACGAAAACCCTGTCATAACATAGTCATTCGCAGGTGACTTTTGCTATATAATGATAAATAAACAATGATTGATAACGTTCATCAAGCAACGATTGTTTACCTTTCTAACATATTTAAGTCCAAATCTAGGTGACTCTAATGTAACTGTATCGATCCATTTCTTCTGTATTTGAATAATGTATTCCTGCTTCCGAATCCTGTCTTTCTTTTCTGGCACTTCAGAAAATGCTAGAACACTAAAAACTATTAAATACAAAATATAAACAAAATATTTCATCATCTACAAAGAAAATTTGTCGCGGTAGTCAAAAAGATAATGGTTGAGTTAATTTAGCCATGTTGATATTGTTTAATCTTTGGAATGCAGGTTTCGGTTTATATCGCAAGCTTACATTTTTATCTATTATACATATAAGTCATATTGTCGGATGATATTTTCATAACTCATCCGTTTATCTTAATACGTATTTGTTAACTTTTTATTAATTAATGCATATACTTCGCATTGCACAGTTAGTAGTGGTCTGGTTAATTACCAAATTAATAACTCAAGAACTGGTAAATGATTATGTCCAGTCCTGGTTATTAACCAGTCCAAAACAGATTAATGATGAAGGTACACTACTGGTTAATAACTATGTCCAAAACTTGGTAATGACCTAGTCAAGTACTAGTTAATGGCCAAGTTTAATATTTGTTAATGAACAAGTCTAGGACCGGTTAATGACCAAGTCTAGTTCTGCTTAATGACCAAGTCTTGGACTGGTTAATGACTAGGTGTAGGACTGGTTAATGCCCACATCTAGGACTGCTTAATTACCAAGTCTAATATTGGTTAATGGTCACATTTAGAACTGGTTGATGGCCAAGTCTTGGACTGGTTAATGACCAAGTCTTTGACTTGTTTATGACCAAGTCCTGAATTTGTTAATGACCAAGTTTAGTACTGGCTTAAGGTCAAAACTTGCACTGATTCATGAGTAAGTCAAGTACATGTACTGGTAATAATCGAAGTCTAGTACTAGTTTATAAACAAGTCTAGTACTTGTTAATAACTTAGTCAAGCACTTGTTTATGACCAAATCTAAGACTGGCTAATAACCAAGTCTATTACTGGTCAATGACCAAGTCTAGGGCTGGTTTATGACCAATTGTACTTCTGGTTAATGTCCAAGTCTAGGACTGGTTAATGACTAAGTATATGACTGCTTAATGACCCAGTCAAGTACTTGTTAATGACCAAGTCTTGAACTGGTTAATAACCAAGTCTAATATTGATTAATGGACAAGTCCAGTACAGTATATTGACCAAGTCCAGTACTGTTTAATGACAAAGTCTAGGACTGGTTAATGACCACGTCTAGGACAGTTTAATGACCACGTCTAGGACTGTATAATGACCAAGTCTAGTATTGGTAAATGGCAATGTCTAGGACTGGTTAAGTACCAAATCTTGGACCGGTTAATGACCTACTCCTGTATTTGTTAAAGAGTTAGTCTAGTACTGGTTAATATCAAAGTCTAGTATAAGTTAATGACCAAGTCTAGGACTGGTTAATGACCGAGTCAAGAACTGGTTAATGACCAAGTCTAGTACTGGTTAATATCAAAGTCTAGTACTGGTTGATGACCAAGTCTATTACTTGTTAAGTCACAAAAACTGGTTGATGACCAAGTCAATTTCTGGTTAATGACCAAGTATAGGACTGGTTAATGACCAAGTCAAGTACTACTTAATGACGTAGTCTAGGACTGGTTTATGACAAAGTCCAGAACTGGTTAATTACCAAGTCTTGGACTTGTTAATGAACAAGTCTAGGACTGGTTAATGACAAGTAAAGAACTGGTTAATGATCAAGTCTAGTACTGGATAATGACCATGTCTAAGATTGGATAATAACCAAGTCTGGTTCTGGTTAATGACCTGGTCTAGGACTTGTTAATGATTAGTCTAGTACTGGTTAATGACCAAGTCAAGTACTTGTTAATGACCAAGTCTAGTACTGGTTATTGACCAAGTCTAGGACTGTTTAATGAGCACGACTTGTATTGGTAAATGACCATGTCTAGGACTGGTTAAGTACCAAGTCTTTGACTTGCAAATGACGAAGTCCTGTATTTGTTAATGAGTAAGTCTAGTACTGGTTTATATCAAGGTCTAGTACTAGTTTATGACCAAGTCCATTACTTGTAAATGTCCAAGTCAATCTCTGGTTAATGACCTAGTCTAAGAATGGTTAATGGCAAAGTCTAGTACTGCGAAATGACAAAGTATAGGACTTGTCAATGCCCAAGTCAAGTACTGGTTAATGACGCAGTCTAGTACTGGTTAATAAGTAAGTCTAGTACTTGTTAATGTCACAGTCTAGTACTGGTTAATGACCAAGTATATTACTTGTTAATGTCAAAGTCTAGTATTGGTAAATAAACTAGTCTAGGACTGGTTAATAACCAATTGTAGGACTTTCAAATGACCAAGTCAAAAACTGGTTTATGACTAAGTCAATTTCTTGTTACTGACCAAGTCTTGAACTGTTAATGACCAATTGTACTTCAGGTTAATGACCAAGTCTAGGACTGGTTAATGACTAAGTCTATGACTGCTTAATGACCTAGTCAAGTACTTGTTAATGACCAAGTCTTGAGCTGATTAATAACCAAGTCTAATATAAGTTAATGGACAAGTCTAGGACTGGTTAATGACCAAGTCCAGTACAATATATTGACCAAGTCCAGTAATGGTTAATGACCAAGTCTAGGACTGGTTAATGACCACGTCTAGGACTGTTTAATGATCAAGTACTGCATTGGTAATTGACCATGTCTAAGACTGGTTAAGTACTAAATCTTGGACTGGTAAATGACTAATTTCTGTATTTGGTAATGAGTAAGTCAAGTACTAGTTTATATCAAAGTCTAGTATTAGTTAATGACCAAGTCTAGGACTGGTTAATGACCAAGTCAAGAACTGATTAATGACCAAATCTAGTACTGGTTAATATCAAAGTCTAGTACTGGTTAATGACCAAGTCTATTATTTGTAAATGTCAAAGTCTAGTACTGGTTAATGAACTAGTCTAGGATTGGTTAATGACTAAGTCTAGTACTGGTTAATGACCACTTCTAGGACTGGTTCATGACCAATTATAGGATTTGTTAATGACCAAGTCTAGGACTGGTGAATAACCAAGTCTAATATTTGTTTATGGACAAGTCTAGGACTTGTTAATGACCAAGTCCAATCCAGTATATTGGCCAAGTCCAGTAATGGTTAATGACCACGTCTAGGACTGTTTAATGACAAAGTATAGTATTGGTAAGTGACCATGTCTAGGACTGGTTAAGTACCAAACCTTGGACAGGTTAATGACCATTTCCTGTATTTGTTAATGAGTAAGTCAAGTACTGGTTTATATCAAAGTCTAGTATTAGTTAATGACCAAGTCTAGGACTGATTAATGACCAAGTCAAGAACTGGTTAATGACCAAGTCTAGTACTGGTTAATATCAAAGTCTAGTGCTGGTTAATGACCAAGTCTATTATTTGTTAATGTCAAAGTCTAGTACTAGTTAATGAACTAGTCTAGGACTGGTTAATAACCTAGTCTAGGAATTTTTAATGACCAAGTCACAAAAACTGGTTGATTACCAAGTCAATTTCTGGTTACTGACCAAGTATAGGATTGGTTAATGACCATGTCTAGTACTAGTTAATGAGGTAGTCTAGGACTGGTTTATGACAAAATCCAGTACTGGTTAATTACAAAGTCTAGGACTTGATAATGAACAAGTCAAGGGCTGGTTAATGACAAGCAAAGAACTGGTTAATGACCAAGTCTAGTACTGGATAATGACCATGTCAAGGATTGGATAATAACCAAGTCTAGTACCGGTAAATGAACTGGTCTAGGCCTGTTTTATGATAAGTCTAGTACTGGTTAATGACCAAGTCAAGTACTGGTTTATGACCAAGTCTAGTACTGGTTAATGACCAAGTCTAGTACTGGTTAATGACCAAGTCTAGGAGTTGTTAATGACCACGTCTTGTATTGGTAAATGACCACGTCTAGGACTGGTTAAGTACCAAGTCTTGGACTAGTAAAAGACCAAGTCCTGTAAGTCTAGTACTGGTTTATATCAAGGTCTAGTACTAGTTAATGACCAAGTCCATTACTTGTAAATGTCCAAGTCAATCTCTGGTTAATGACCTTGTCTAAGACTGGTTATGGCAAAGTCTAACCCTGCTAAATGACCAAGTCTAGGACTGGTTAATGACCAAGTCAAGTACTGGTTAATGAGCAAGTCTAGTACTGGTTAATATCAAAGTCTAGTACTGGTTAATGACCAGAAACAGGTCGTTTACGGAGCAAAATAATGGAATCAACTTTAGAAAAATATAACACATTTAACTCAAATAACGCAAGTATTTCAATTTAATACAAAGGCTCAATGATAAGTTCGAAATAGTCTACAAAACAAACAGACAGAAGAATAAAAATACATGTATGTAAAATACACTGGCACATAAATGTTAAAAGACTCGTGGGATATATTCTTTATTGGTATAAAATACTGCTTATAACTATAGATGTGTACATGATTTTGATAAATAACTTGAATTAAATATATACCATGCTGATCTTTGAGTAAAATAATTTTATCTTAGAAATTTGTTAAAATCTATGAAATTTTTACTAAATATGTCTAATTTGAAATTAACAATGTCAAAACTATGTATAGGAAGCTGTATTCTCTATTACAGGTCAAGTAAAAAAATGAAAATAACAAAAAACATATACCCGATGTATGGCAGAAAAATTCAAAAAATATTTTGGCATAAGAATCCAACATGTTATTATTGCAATAAAACATACATGATTCACCAGCATTACATGTACATCAATTTAAATGGAATCAATGAATTATACATGGCAAGATAGACAATATTGAATTAACATGTGTGCAAAAAATATAATTTATTTCAATAAATAGAAATAATAAAACCACTTAAACAGTTTACAGTATAAAGAAACGGATTTCATCTACTACAACCTGCAAAAGCCAAACATGATAAAAAGCCAGTGTTGGTAGTATTACCATTTAAGGAACCTGATCTATATCATTTTAATGCCCTGCCATAAAAATTTGGTCATGGTTCGAGATTTTTGGCAGTTATGCCCCTTTGAATCAGTTTCCATTGATTGCCGTCTCATCATTTGCACACTCTACTCAAATTGGACATATGGATATGCCAAATAATTGCACAGGTCAGGTTCAAATTTGGTCATGGTTTGATGATTTTTAGCAGAGCTATGCCCCTATTACTTTGTAAAAATATGAAAATTTCATTTTACGTTCATTATCTACCCAACAGTTGTAAATATTTAACTCAAATTTTACATATACATATGTCACAAGAATACGCTGGTCAAGTTCGTATTTTGTCATGGTTTGATGATTACTGTTTTACTTATCCCTCTAGAACATTGAAAAAGAAATTAGTTTCCGTTCGTTCCGTTAATGGTTGAACACATTCAACTCAAATTTGATATATAGTAACGTGTCAAACTTTGAAGTTGGTCATGGTTCGATGACATTGGACAAAGTTATCTCTCTTGAACGTTGGAAAACATGAAATTTTCAGTTTCAGCCCTCTTACTTTTGTAAAAATAAGTGTAGTCATTATCTCAGCTAAAATATGCAATATGCAATTTGCAAAAGGTCAACACTGAATAGTTTCAGGGCATTGAACTTTGTTTAAAAATGGTTTGCGTTTACATTAAATTGTTTACAGGCTTTGAACTTAGAACAAAAATTAGTTTAGTTTGTGCAAATAAATTTGGCATTAAATATTATTATAACATTTGAAAATTTGGCTGCATGCGGGGGCATCTGTGGCGTGACGACACATTTCAAGTTAAGACAATTAATTATACGCCTGTATACTACCTGATATCTATATATTTATAAACCACAGAAAAGTAAAGTATAATAACGATTATGACATTGTAACATGATGACAAGAAATATCAGGAAAAAAAGCTTTGAGTTAATATCATTTTACTTAAATAACTTTACAGAAAACTTACCAGTTTTTTTATTTAAAGAAAAGTAATTATATCTAGCTAGATTTATCACTGCAATTGTTTTGAAATAGATTCCAATATGCCTTAAAATATAATCAAACTTCGCTATGCTAATTCTTAAATCAGAAAAAGAATGTCATTCAAATAAAAATGTTATTCATTTGCAATAACTTGCATATTACATTTTATACATAATCTATTATTTCTATTTCTACAGCGACCTTTTTGTTTAAGGATTGTACTGTTTGTCATTAGTAATTTTATTTAAAAACATTTTATAACAAAAATAAGTAGTTATTATATTATAAACTTCTAGTTTTCATAAAGCTTGAAGTTCAGCATGCCGGGTTTCATTCTTTCTTGATCTTTAATCATTAACCTTTTTTATTACTTACGACTGAATTGTGATTCAACAAATACTGGTAACCAATTGAATTTTACAAACATAAAATGAGCAGGTATTAACTAAATCATGTTATTAGTCTCTAAAAAAGTGACTGTATTCATAAGTGTTCCCGGGAATTTCCGTTTATCTAGATAAACATTTAACTAATGACTGATATTATAGTTTTTAACAAAATTTTACATACAATGCATTGTTTGTTGTCGTTTCGAACACCTTAAATTTGTTTTAGGATCTTAAGATAAATGCATCCTTATAAATGCATCTTTACCAAGATATCAAAAGAGAACGGCACTACATTCCTATCATCCATATCTATGTTGTTTTTGTACATAAGATGAGTGGTCCACAGGGCGGAGAGAAGGTTTAGCTGAATACCCAAAAGAAATCGCAGCTGTAAAAGGTTGTCCTGTACATCACATTGGATCAGTATTGTAAGATTTTCTTGGCCTTTAGGATCAAGGACGATGTGTTGCATATAAAAAATAACTTAAGCCGGTGCTATGGTATGTGAGAGATGTTGCACTTTTACATTTTATCTCATGAACGTGTTCTATCAAACCGAAACTGCAGTTTTCATGAAATATATGTGTATTCAGTGCTTCAGAGGGATCACTTCTTCTTTTACAGATTTCTATAACCCTTTTTTGCTAGAGGTGTACAGGAATTTTACACATCAAAATATCTTAAGGTAAATAATAATAAAGAAAATGACATAAAACAATATAAGTAAACTAATGACTTCTTGATTGAGTATTTGCGCTTACCCGGCAGAAAAATGTTGCTTGTTATTCTTATCATTATGTAAAATTAAAACAAATAGTTTGTATATAAATGACTATACTAAAAATAAAGATTCTTTTCCTTTAAGCTGTACTTTATGGGCTAGATTTCTATGCAAATAGTACAAAAGTTTGATTTTAAAACCAGAAAATATGCTCTGCTAATGTCGTGACTCACCTATGCTCTTTCTTGAACATGGATCAAAATTCAATAAAGGAATTTATTCTGTAAATCAAAACAAAGTGGTCACAATTGTTATAGATAAAGTCAAATTAAAGGCGTTATAAGATGTTGATATATATAGATCTAAACTAAAAATATTACAACATGATATCACAAATGATCCTTTTTATTTTTATTTTGACTTTTGCTTCTTTCGTTTTCTCTTTCATTTTAAACTCCCATTCTGTCATTTTAAACCAGGCCTAATTCTTTCATTAAGAACTTAATCCATTCTATCATTATGAACAAATCGATTCTTTTATCTTGAATAAAGTCCATTGTCTTCAAATATCAAACGACAAAACATGACTAATTCTTGTTATCAGTTTGCCGAAGATTGCATTTACATAATTAATTTCTAGTTTATTGAATATTGATGGATAATCGGGACAATTACTCTATTAGTGTTATATTAGAGACATGAGTAAATTTTAAACTAGAAGCACCATCCTATCATAATTAACGTAAATGAAACGAGGCATGTGAATCAAGAATGGTTCGTTCTATGCGTACTAAGGCAAAGCTTCCTTGAATTCCTTACAGTAGCAACCAACTAGAATTATAACAAATATTATAAAACTTGTAACGACGGCGATATACACTTCATTGCCTGTAAATCCTTGACTAGACTCTTTCAAAGCACCTTCAGTTCTGTCTTTAGAATTCTTTGGAAGTTCATTTTTCACATAATGTTTAAACTTGCTATACCACTCAGTTAGATTAAAAAATCCCTGCTCTTTCAAATTATTATCATAGTAATGCACGTTATAAAATCTCTCTGAGGGGTTGTGTGATGTTCCATATAACGTTAATGCAACTCTTTGCAGTTTAAACAATTCTGAAAAACAGAGCGATAGTTCTATTATTAATATAATACTATATAACATATCTGTCAAATTTACAAGTGAAAACAACTTGATAATAACAAATTAATCAAACATTTAGGTTGTTTTCGATAACAAAACTTGAAACATTTTAAATATCAGGTACGTACCATGATCAAGATGATTGCTCTTATGAACAATCAGAACCCAATGTCCAGTAGGATTTTCTCCCCAAAAGTGTACTGATGTGTAATTCCAGTATCGTTTACCATGATATGAGTTAGTTTTGTAATCATGTTTCCCGTCATAGGCTTTCCTGTTTAGTAAAAGTGAGCAGGAATTCGACGGCGAACAAAGCAATATGTCCAACAAAGCTTCAAACTGTTTATCATATTTCAGCTCTACTTGTACATGCTCCAAGAAAGTCACACTTTGTTCACTCTTTTCACATGGTCCCACTTGAACTGTTACAGCTATCGCATCTTGATGGAGTAGCCTAAAATATAAAAGTAAAGACCAATAGAATTTATTAAAAATCATAAACACTGTACGAGGTATGATCAAAAAGTTCTCGGTCCGATATACTTCTAGTCACTACACCGAAGCTGTGCACGATCTGGTCATGTGCAACAGAAGGCGAGACCTGCACAGCATTGCTAGTGAAATAGGTATAAGCTTTGGTTCAGTTTACGCAATTCTGACTGATGTCTATGGCATGTCAAAGGTTTTCCGCTAGATGGGTCCCCAGACAGTTGACTGACGACCAGAAACGGACATGGGTTGACATTTCAAGATATATTCTGTCTCGTTACGAGGATGGAACTGATATTATCTACCGGATCGTAACTCAGGATGAAACATGGATCAATCACTTCGATCCAGAATCCAAAAACAGATCATGCAGTGGGAGCTACCTGGCTCACCCTCTCCGAAGAAATCAAAGATGTAGCCATCAGCAGGGAAAATGGTGGCTTCAATTTTTTGGGCCAGTCAGGGGATACTCATAATTGACTATCTTGAGCAACGTGGAACTATATTCGATACGTATTATGCAGATGAATTGAGACGTCTGCGTCAAGGTCAAGAAATCGCGCGTAAAAGGAGGGGCAAACTGACTCAAGGCGTTCTGCTCCTGCACGACAATGCGTCAGCTCCCACATCCTGAGTTGCGATGCCTGCTGCAACTGACTGCGGCCTTTAAATTCTTCCCCATCCCCCATATTTTCCAAACTTGGACCCCTTTGACTTCTACCTGTTTCCGAAACTGAAAACCAAGTTTCGTGGTAGACGTTTTGGAAGCATTGAAGGTGTCATAGAAGACGGTCAATGAATTCTTTGAGGACCAAAATAGAGAGTTCTATTTTGAAGGGTTAAAGCTGGAACACAGGTGGGCAAAGTGCATTGATGTAGAGGGCGATTTTATTGAAAATTAAGACCATTAGTTGGATTCTCTGACTACTGAAAGTACATCGAGCCAATAACTATTTGATCAATCCTCATAAATCTTAGAATACTGTGGGAATATAAAACAAAGTGTGTTTATAAGTAAGTCTTCTATAAAGCTTATTTTACTTATTATGTAATAACTGTTTTATTGCATAATTGGCGTATTTACAATGTATTGTAATGTTCTCATTTAATTCTTTATTTGAGCAAATATCTAATCAGAAAAAATCATTTTAGCGCGCTTTGTAAGATATTTGGCAATTTGTACACGGGTGTCCATTTTTCAGTTTTTACTACTAAGTACTGACCCCGATTATATACCAACAATGTCGCAAAGTTCTTTCCTTTAAGTCTGGCATCTTGTTTAATCAGATTTTCCACAGCAATAACATTAGCTTTTGTAGCAGCAATCTTACGCTGACCGGGACGGGGGCCTCTGTTATGTCTGTTTTACCACCTTTACATGTTTCATGCCAACTAAAATGACCTTTTAGACAACACAGAGGCTCATATATCTGTGAAGCTGATACATTATAACTTTAATATAAACCTTTTTTTTTCAAAGTTTGACGCACTTCTCATTGAACTTGCAGTATAAGAGCTAAATAACTACACCTATTGGAATTTCCAATAACTTTCGAAAAACCTCATGAAAATTTTCAATTTGGTATTATTCATAACCCCTCTACATGAAATATCCACATTTTTACATAATTCTAAAAAAACACAGCATAGAGGCGCATCAGTGACACAATTCAATGAACTTTCATCCGATTGTTTGACAATGATAAAATATTCATACCTGGAGAGTAAATCTAAGAGTAATTGAAGTAATTTGTCAACACACATTTTGTTTTATAATTCATATAGTAATTGACGGTTTTGTGGTTCAGTCAGCAATACTTACCGATTTTCTCTTTTTGTTTCGTATACTGTAGTTTGTATTTGAGGTGGTACAGTCGACCATTTTTCAGCCAACAATGCCATAGCCGTAGCATTCATCAATCCAAATCCAAAGAAAGAAGTATCTACAAAATTCACATATTCACATTTGAAGTTTTATTATGCAAACCAGTTATTTATCAACTTACTTCTGACATTGCAACAGCACAAGTTTACTTCAGCTTTATCCAGCGCTATTATGTCAACAACCTGGTATGTTTTGCATATTTATGTTCCAACTTAGTCAAATTTATGTGATTAATATTAGCAGTATTATTCAAATGTCATGAAATGTTTCAAAAGGTTTACTCTCACTTTGAACTCAATAGTGTGCATTCTATTGAAAGTCTTTCGATTAATTAATATTTTAAAGAGAGCCCTCCGTGACCAAGTTAGTGGTTAAGGTCGTTTACCGCTCGTCCATGAAACAATGAATGCACAGGTGTCATCTTCCACAATTTAAGCTGGGAAATCGCTGCGTTATCTTACCCGCTTTGGTGTGACTTAATCAAAGTAAGAAAAATCTAGAAACAATGTGATCCATCGGAAGCATTAATTACAACAAAATTACATGAAAATTGCAGACTCTGTGTGATTGAGTCTGTACATGAGGGTTAATGAATAAGTGCAACATCCCTCACGCCCCTCGCATCGGCTTGAGCAGTACTCAATTCTCAATTCTTAATAGTGCTGGCATCAATCAAGTGACAGTTTAAAACTTTCCTATACGTCGAAAAAAACGTCAATAAAGATACTCCCTAGAATTTTTAAGCTGTTGCAAATAATAATTATGTAATTACCACTTTTTCACGGCTTCCAGCTTAATAAATCCTGTATTATTTCTCTAATAATTTCATGTATATTCTCATGTATCATCTACACGCAGATACAGAGATTATTCCTGAGGCATCAATTTATGTGTTAGATGCATTTACTTTATCTTTTAATGTTACCCTTAACTGCATATACTTATAACTCAAAAAGCACTTTAGTTCTTCCATTATGTGTATTAATGCCAACGTCATATGATATCATGAAACACGATAAACAAGAACAAGGAAAGGAGACGTTCAATGGACGCAACCCCCACCCGACCAAGCAACAACAGCCAGTGGCAAGGAGCCCAGGAGGACCCCAAAACAAAAACAGGACATGGAACAAGGGCACGTGCAGGCCAACCACTAAAATCATGAATAATAAGTTACTGATAAGGAACTAAAAGAACAAAGAAAACAAATAAATGATTGAAAAATAGGCCCATAAAGTCACAGGGGAAGGGGACAGGAGACGTGGGGAAGGGAGGGGATAAATAAAATAAATAAAACCTAGGGGCAAAGGGGAAGATACTTATCGTACTTAAACAGTATAAAACAACATAGACATACATCTGAGGAACACAGAGGGGCGCCGCCTTGTAACGGTCAGCAGCATAAATAGTGCTGGGGAAAACTGTTGTTAACCTACATTAAGGTTAAATTGCATGTATTTGATTTGATTATTTGAAAGTGTCGTGTATTCGAGTATTTACTTATAAGCTTACACTGTAGCCCGGCAGCATTTTTCATTAGTCTTCCGACTCTTCCGGTATGTTCAAGTCTTTCGTGAGAAGAAGATAGTACTATTATGTGTTGAACATCTCTCCAAGTCAGCTTAGGACTGAAAAAGTAAAAAACGTTCAAAATATCTCAAGTCTATTTTTGTTAATAAATATTATGCAGCAGATTAAATATAATATGTATTAAAGTGTTTATAGATTTACATATTAGTCTAATTCTTAGCAGCTTCACATTATTTTATTCATAACTAAAACACTGGGTGCCGTTTTATCAACGGTCGTACGCCCGGTCGTAGCTAAGATTTGGTCGTACGACCGATCTTACGTCTACGTCGCGTTTTATCAACATGGTCGTAGCTAAGACGTCGTAGATTTACGTCGTAACTTTAAGGCTGCTTCAGACCAGTCGTAAGTAGGCTTAAGATCTTAAAAATGGCGGCCATTTTTGCATAATTCCCGATAGGAACTTTCAAACACAAATATTTGAACAATTGAAGTTTTCAACTAACGTAGGTTTTCCGCGTACATGTTTATGTACAGTGCTGATTCTATTTTAACATCACAGGGACGCAACTATCACTTCCAGATTAATCTCCGGATAATTTCCACGAAGAAGCTATGGTTAGTTATATTACTTTAATTTTAGTACAACCGACGTATATATATGTGTTTAATATAACTCCTGTCACATCTGTAGCCAGGTTAGCAAATGATTCTTACAATTTTCTATACCGTTTCCTACTTTTCTTTTCGAAATATTTTAGTACAGAAATTTCGGACAGTGCAGATTTCAGACAGAATATAGATCTAACAATTGTCAATAACAATTGTGTTAATTGTCAAGCTATTAAACCAATTTGATTGTTATAATTAGTTAAGTATGTTCTTTTGTAGACCTTTCAATGAAGTTGCGAAAGACATGTGCTAATAATGTGAAATCAACATGGCAACATTATGTTAACCTACAGTACAGTGCTGTAATGAGAATGCAAATGAAACTGGAGCACTGTTGTTTGGTAAAGCATGTACATGAATGCGAAATGAGCATCTTCAGATCCAATTTGGTGTATCACATGAAAAGAGGATTGTAAACAAAGGACAAGTAACTTGTGCAGACAGGTGAGTTTGAAATATAGACAGTTTTAGAGTTCACTTCGCCCCTCTTTCTATGAAATCTGATTAAAGCACTACACCTCGCTTTTTGGTTATGTGTTGTTATGTGCTTTACACAAATTAAGGTGGAACATGTGAAATGCAATCAATTATGGTGATTAAATTATTCAATGTTTTAGCACATTTCTTGTTATATAATAAGTATGGACCAAATCAAAATATTGTAGATATATTACTTTTCCCCTAATATATTTATATGGTATTAATGATAATCAGTTAAGTACTTTATATTTTTTTCTAAAATATAATTATCACATTAAAACTTCAAAATAAGTTTGACTATTTAAAATAACTTATTTTGTATTAGTCATTTAAAGTGGGTGCCCTACTATCTTAGATATGAGATATCTCTTTCACCCCGCATTTGTTCTAACATTGATACTGGGAAATACATGTATGTCCCAGTTTGACAGTACATTGATAGTTATGTTGAAAATCACACATATTTTTTATCAACAATTATATAGCAGATTTTTCTTTATTTTTATGTCACATTGATACTTAAAAAAATTGTCTTTCATGTAATGTTTCAGAAAATGATGTTATGTAATAGATATACCATTGCTGCGTTGACGATTTCTGGGTTTGCGTAAATTATACCATAATCACGTGACCTTTCTTATGCCTTGACCTCACGAGACGAAGTCGAGTGAGGTTGCATAAGAAAACAAAGTGACTTAAATAAGAAAGTGACTTTACAAAAACAAAGATTTATGTGTTACAATTCATCTGAAAGTAAAATGACATGAGATAAATCAATGTAACATATGTGTTTATATTGATATTTATTGATTTATTGTTACTTGAATGCATTAAAAATTGTTGGGATGAATATTAAAAACACAAAGAAAATAACACAAAAGGGACAATAATGAAAATAAACAATCTTAATGTAAAGCTGTGAAACTTTCTACAGAATTCCCTGGAAGTGACATTTTATCTTTAATGTGCTAAATTTATAATTATCTTCGTCTTAACTGCTCTTGTCTGAATAGTACCCTGTGTCTGTTAAAACATATTGTTTTTATATTGTTATCTAGTTTCAAGATTGTTTTCTAGCAGATATGTACATCAATTCTAAACAGGTATTATTAAAAATTAATATGAATTAGAAAAAGTTGTAACATGTCATTTCAATGTCATAATTTTCTTTGCAATATGTATTCATTGTCATACTTGAATAATAATAAAAGACTTTGTAACATTCTAACACTTACTGTTCTGTAAATACTTTTACAAATAAGCCAGCCATATTGTTTTCAACTTTTCCTTAATCTTAGCTGAAACTGCTAAGAAAGACTCTTCTAATGTTTGCAGATGTTGGATAGCATTTTACCTCAGAGCCCTGTAAATATATTTTGTATTCAAGCTGTGCCACCTGTAACTTATTCAATGTCATGAACGCACATACCTTGATTGGTGTCATCAACAGCGCTTTGTTCGAAGTAAAAAAATCTTAAAACACTAGCTATGCTTTGGAAGCCTTTTGCTTTACTCACACAGTTAGGACAAGATACTTTACAGTTGACAGATCACAATGATGTATACTATCACGTTCTTTGACTTTTATTCAGAATATTCTTATAAATACAGGGATGTAAGGGATATATTTACATAGTCATTAGTGATATTTAATAGTATCCTTGGGTGACCAGAATGACGCTACCGCTTCTATTAGAAATAATGTGCATAACATGCAGAAGGGATTTAAAAAATTTGACATCGTCTATAACATTTTTTATAGACGGATTTATGTCCTCCTTTTGATGCATCTCTATATTTTGATCCGCAAATAAGTATCTATTTGTCTCACGGATTTATATAAATCCGTGAATGATTTACTGTTTTTTTTTTATTTAATAAATATCAATATACAATGTATCCCATGTATTTTTTTTTAAATCTTCTACAAGAAAAGAAATCGCATTCTAACACAAAAAGACTTGTCGATTTTTTGTACTTTATTTAGTTAATTTGGAACTCGGAAGCATTAATCACAACAAAATTACATCAAAATTGCAGACTCGGTTTGATTGAGTCTGTACATGAGGGATAATGAATACGTGCAACATCCCTCACGCCCTTAAACGTATTTAAATGTCCTTTTTGATTCTCCCCCATGCTTTGCCGTTATTAAAGCTACTTCGACGAGGCATACACGGTATTCAGTTTATGCATAGGTTTTTTGTATAGTATATATATGGGATTTTTTAAAATCGTTATTTCTTTGTTTTGGATAGAATTTCGGGGTCCTGTGGTTTATCATCTTTATGCAGTCGTGTTTACATTGACAGGTGCGCGGGAAATCACGTGACCCGGAAACGTACTTTCGACTGTATGGTTACTGTTTATACGGTCGTACGACCGAAAATGGTCTTAGCTGCGACTGAGGGCGTACGACCGTGTTCATAAAACGGTCATGAGGAAATCGTAAGCTCGGTCGTAAGTATCGGTCGTAAGATAAGATCGCAGTTACGACTGTCTTTGTTGATAAAACGGCACCCTTTCATTTTTCAAACAAATTGTATATGTTTTTTACTTACGAGAATTGATCTAAAAGTTCTAGGCCTGATGTACTTCTGGTAGTCAAAGAACCAAACTAATGGTCTTACTTTTCAATTTAATAGCCCTCTACATCAATGCACTATGCCCACTTGCGTTCCAATTTGTGAAACCCTTCAAAATAGAACTCTCTATTATGGTAATCACAGAACTCATTGACCGCCTCCGTGACACCTTCATGCTTCCAAAACGTGTACCACGAAGCTTTGTTTTCAGTTTCGGAAACAGGTAGAGGTCAGAGGGGTCAAGTCCGGAGAATATGGGGGATTCGGAAAGAATTTAAAAGTCACAGTCAGTTGCAGCAGCCATTGCAACTTGGGATGTATGAGCTGGCTGATTGTCGTGTAGGGACAGAACGCCTTGAGTCAGTGTGCCCCTCCTTATACTCGCGATATCTTGACGCAGACGTTTCAATTTGTCTGCATAGTACGTACCGTTTATGGTACGACCTTGCCTAAGATAGCCAATCATGATTATCCCCTAAATATCCCCCCAAAAAAGAAGACATTATCTTCCCTGCTGATGACACCCTCTTTTATTTTTTCGGAGGGGGTGAGCAGAGGCTTCAACTGCATGCTCTGATTTTTTGGATTCCGGATCAAAGTTATGGAGCCATGTTTCATCCTGATTTACGATCCGGTAGATAAAATCAGGTTCATCCTCGTTGCGAGACAGAATATATCTTACAATGTCAAGCCTGGCCGTTTCTGGTCGTCAGTCAGAATTGCCTGAACTGAACCAAAGCTTATACCTACTTCCATAGCAATGCTTTGCAGGTCTCGCTTTCTGTTGCAAATTACCAGATCGTGCACAGTTTCAGCAGTTTCATCGTTGGGTGTCTCGTTTGGCCGCATAGGCCGCTCATCGTCTTAAATACTCGCCCTGCCCCTCTTAAATTCAACAGCCCATTTTTTCACAGTGCGATAGCAAGGGGACTCCTTCCCAAGTATATCCATGAAGTTTTCATGGATACCTTGGGGACATCCCTTTCTTACAGAGGTACTTAATGACGGCTCTGATTTCAACTTTCTCCATTTGGTCTACATGATACACCCCTCTACTGATCAAAGTGTGTTTTATGTTACTTTATCTGTATAAAACCGCGTGTAACTCAGTCAGTAATCTTCAATAAGATATGGGTATCGACGTATCGTGTGTAAATGTCAGTGTAGTTGCTAGAAGTATATCGTGCCGAGAACTTTTTGATCATACGCTCGTATATATATTTTACCTATTGAACAGTATCAGTTCATTGCCAATTAATCAAAGGGCCATACCATTTTAGTAAAATTTATATACATACATGTTTATATATTTGAATCAATACGTGAATAATAATCGGACAAAATCTGTATAACTTACTTTGCTTGTAAGGTTAAAGCAATTATTCCAGACGCTAAAGTTGTTGATGCTGAAGTTCCTTTAAAGTAATCGCACATGCCATCGTGACTTGTAGTTTCCTTAATGAAGAGGTGTAATTAGTTTGTACCAGAAATAATGATAATTATATTAAGTTTTAGAAGTATGCTTTTAGATACAAACTAAATTGGGTAATATCTTTCGAGTTAACATAGTAAATGTATTTTTCATAGCTGATTTTTTAATTGGCCAGATAGAATGAAAACATATGGTATTATAAGAATTATTATATATAGCTGAATTTCTAAAGTGGCCTCACCAAAGTCTTTGGACCTCTGAGTGTATTAAACTCTCCATATGTAGAAGCCAAGGTAGTGGCACAGGGTATAGCATAAGAAGGTATCGAGCCGTCCTTGCCAACACTAGAAATTGTAATCGTATAAATACTGTTTGCAAGAGCTTCCATGTTACAGTCATAAACCGGACCTTTTTTATTTCCTGCAGAAAATACAAAAATGCTCCCCTTACCCCCTCTGCCCTATACAGAGAAAAAGATAAAAATATGATTTAATTATCTTTATGCTATGATTATAGAAATATTGGTTTTAAAAGCAAAAAAATAGCATTCGTTGGTTAACGTTTTATCATATCGGCATATCAATACTAGAGGTGTTTCAGATTATTATTATTAACATAGACCGCATTCAACACTGTGTTTGTTTTTTGATACATTTCGAAAAAGATAATAGTTTTGTGAATGTATAAATCGAGTAAATGGATATCTCTAAAATATGTTTTATTTGAAATATTTATAAATATTACTGTATGTGCTAGAAGTCGTAGCGTACAAGGAGTACTGTTACAGAACCATCTGTTTCATTTTTATTCTTTTTTCATGTTGACTTTCCTATTTAATTTAACATTTGAATAGACCAACAAAGGAAGCATATGTCAATTAATTTCTTAAGATAAATGGCATGCATAAGCTGTTATTGTATATATTTAAAGTGAATTCAAGGAAATTGATCAGTATTTCTTAACATGATAACCCATACCTTCAGAACTCCTTCCTGTAACGCTGTCTTCATCTCTGGGGTTGCCGATTTGTATTTATTATGAAGATTGAAACTACAAGAATAAATATCTATGTCTTGTCGTTTATATTCAAGTGCAGAAGGGACATTAACTATTGAAAATGGAAATCCCTCTTTTATTGCCAAACTGATGTAATGCTTGTTTATTTGGAACACTTTTAGAGCTGAAAGGGAAATTAGAAATCGTCATTCTACGTCATCAAAGTGTAATCTTGAAACATAGGTCAAACTACTACAACTTAAGTGAAAGTTGAAAGTTTCCCCTTCTTACCACGAGAATACATGTACACCAGTAAAGATAATCGAATGACGCCGCTTTAGAACAAGCAATGATTTCTTCAAACGAAATACAAATAACGGAACGCAATATTATCAATGTGTATGTTTTGTTACGACCTAAACGTAACAGAGAAGATAACGCAGCAACAAATATTACAATTTTGATTAAAGAAAAACAGAAAAACAGTTATTTACAATAATATAAGAATTATGAAAATAAAGTTTAGCTAACTATTATCCAAGACCTCGAATTTAACAAATGTCCTAAAGTTTAACTCACAGTTCGAAATTCAATTGTCCACAACTCAGATATTATCAATGTCCAATGTCCACAGCAGAATAAATACAATAAGTCCAGAATATCCAATATTACAAATCCAAACATATATATTTCTATGTAGCAGTACAATAGCACACAATCAGTATATCAATATCACACAACACCACAAAATAGCACACAACTCGAAGTACAAACATTCATCATACATATACTATCAGTGAACAACTTTGAATACTAAACTACTTAGAGAAAGAATATTCCAGAATGAACATGAAGAGAACTTTCATGAAAGAAGATGAATGAACATGAACAATTATGTAAACATTAAATAGATAAAATTATTAAAAATAATAGTGACCCTAGGCGAAAGGAGAGGGACATGCAACGTGCAAAAGAATATAAACCAAAACGGGTCCATACGGAACCAAAGGGACAAGGGCCGTAAGGGTGAAAAGGAGAGGGGGTCAAAAATGGGAGGCTGTGTGAGAAAATACCTACCGTAATCGACAATCCAACAAGGCATATATCAAAAACATGTAAACATTCAAAAACAAATAACAACACAGACATGAAAAACACGTGAAGGAACATAGAGTGGTACCGCCTTGGAACGGTAAGTGGTAGTTAAATCGGGTTTAGGCGCGCCAAACCTCATTCTTACCCCCAATATGTTCCTGAATGACACGAAAGTGTAAATAAAATTAATCCCCGCCGAGTGAAATTCTAACAATGGTCATGGTTACTTTAGACGAAATAAATAAAACACAGACAAGATTTTGTAAATATGTAAAAAAAGGTACAGCCTATTGACCATTACCAAAGAACTCGATGACTTAAAGGAAGGCAGAGCAACAAGAAAATCACCGACAAGGGCCCGACAAAGCAAGACAGAAGACGAACATTAAGACAATATAGTCCCAAAGGGTTTTAAGAACTGTCCATCATAGAGTCTCCCACTTAGTCGTCAGATGTAATTAAAAGAGAAAAGCGTAGCATCCAACTGTAAAAAGGTTGAACAATTAAAATAATTGGGTCATAACCTCTTTTAATAAACCGTTTGATAATTTTAGTGAAGACGGCAGAGAAATTACTATGCGTCGTAAAAGAGTTTTCAAGTAACTATTAAATTTTAAAACTAAATCTGAATTACGATGGTAAAACTTCGTAAAATATTTGCGCAATTTATTATAACGATAACCTTGTTTAAGAAGTTTGCTAGTAATAAATAAATTGCGTAACACGTAGATTTTAGTTACTATAGTATTGTTAATGATAGAAATGTTTAAATCTAAAAAAGATGTTATAACGTCTGAAGAGTTAGTTTTATTCAATTTTTAGTTCACTGGGATATATTTTAGAAACCATTTAATCGAAATAAGGATTATTCATGTTAAGGATATCATCTAGGTAGCGGGAAGTGTTGTTAAATGAATGTATAATAAAGACTTAACATGAAATCCCTCTCATAGCAGTAACGAAATAAATCAGCTATCAGGGGTGCATAATTAGTACCCATTGGAATGCCTATTATCTGTTTGAAAACTGTATTACCAAACCTGACATAAATTTTATCTAATAAAAACGAAAGTGCTTAATTTACTTACTGATAATTCCTTATGGAATCGTAATGTCATAATTGGTCTGCACGATAAATATAAAAAAACAAGCATATCAATTAAAATCGTTTATAGTTTGTTACACACTCAGTTAAGGTGAACACAATAAAATTTGAAATGTTTAAAATTAGTTTTCAAACCTGCCAACTTTCCATTAAATGCAACTCCAGCAGAACATATTAGATTACCAAATTCCGCACCAATAAGTCCAGCCGCCATTGTCCCATGACTGCAAAATCAATATTGAACACGTCAAATTTATATATTTATGTATATAGATAAGTAGGTATGTACGTACGTATGAGTGTGTCTGTGTGCGTATGTGTGTGCGTGCGTGTGTGTGTGTGTGTGTGTGTGAAAGAATAAAAAGACAATTATGTTTTCTTTCCTTTTTAAGATATATTTTTTCAGTTCAATAAAGTATTATTTAATGAAGGACGTTTAACATTGTACAATATGTAACTGATTATGCTACTTTAAGCAAAAGTAAGGGACAGTGAGACAGACAGCTATAAGATAAAAAAAATAGCACCTTGTTACTTCCTCGGTTTCCATGTAGTCTCTAAAACGGTCAGGACTAACAAAGCTGTAATTTTTGTCCACAAAACTGTACGAAAGATTCAAATCCTGTAAATGGAAAATATGCTTGTGCTATTTCTGCAAAACTTTAATTACCCTCATAAAGGTGCTACAGATCACACGTTTAGATTGAAAGATGCATTAATTCTTTCAAGACATATGTTTAGCTTATAATTATTATAGCTTATTGAAGCAGGATTAAAGGTTTTTGGCAAATAAATTGTAATTGTATGATTATTTGTGCTTTATTTAATTACAGTTTGAAACTTTGGCGCTTATCCATTTAATCAAAATTCAAACTTTGTGATGATAGAGCTTTATAACTGCATATAAATTCCGCACATATTCAACATCTATGCTATTGTTTTTGTATACTTCTGGCATTTTTTTTTGAAAAACAACTTACAATATTTCGTTTTAAGTCCGGGTGGTCAACATCTACCCCAATATCTACAATAGCAACATTGACGCCAAGTCCTGTGTAGCCCAGTGACCATGCTTCCTGGATGTCCATCCCATAGTATGGCCAGCACTGCTTTTTCTAAAAAAACCGATATTGTTATCGTTGATTTAAAGGGTATCGATACCCTTTATAAATTATATATAAAATCACCACTATCAAATTTATGTACATTTCACTATTGTTGATCATTATCGATCACTTATATTTAAATAACTGCAATTACATTTTATAACGTTTAAACATGTCCGTGAAGTACGCGGGCTAACGGGCTAGCAGTCTAGCGGGCTAACAGTGTGAACTGAGCGGGCTAGCAGTCTAGCGGCCTTACAGTGTGAACTTGTCGGGCTAGCAGTCTAGCGGGCTAACAGTGTGAACTGGGCGGGCTAGCAGTCTAGCGGGCTAAACTCTAAATCTTAACACATTAAACATGAAAACGTTATGATACATATCCTAGCAGTGTAAAGTGGGCGGGCTAACAGTGTAGCGGGCTAGCAGTGTGAACTGAGCGGGCTGGCGGGCCAGCGGTCTAAACTTTAAAAGTTAATTGAATGAACATGAAAACGTTATGATACATTTCCTAGCAGTGTGAAGTGGGCGGGCTAACAGTGTAGCGGGCTAGCAGTGTGAACTGAGCGGGTGGCGGGCCAGCGGTCTAAACTTTAAAAGTTAATTGAATGAACATGAAAACGTTATTATACATTTCCTAGCAGTGTGAAGTCGGCGGGCTAACAGTGTAGCGGGCTAGCAGTGTGAACTGGGTGGGCTGGCGGGCCAGCAGGCTTAACTTTAATACTTAATTGAATCAACATTAAAACCTCATGATGCATTTCCTAGCAGTGTGAAATAGGCGGGCTAACAGTGTAGCGGGCTAGCAATGTGAACTGGGCGGGCTGGCGGGCCAGCGGGCTAAACTGTAAAACTTAACTGATTCAACAGGAAAACGTTATGATACATTACCTGGCAGTGTGAAGTGGGCGGGCTAACAGTGTAACGGGCTAGCATTGTGAACTGGGCGGGCTGGCGGGCCAACGGGCTAAACTTTAATACTGAATTGAATCAACAATAAAACCTCATGATACATTTTCTAGCAGCGTGAAGTGGGCGGGCTAACAGTGTAGCGGGCTAGCAGTGTGAACTGGGCGGGCTGGCGGGCCAGCGGGATAAACTTTAATACTTAATTGAATCCGTATTAAAACCTCATGATACATTTCCTAGCAGTGTGTAATGGGCGGGCTAATAGTGTTACGGGATAGCAGTGTGAACTGGGCGGGCTGGCGGGCCAGCGGGCTAAACTTTAATACTTAATTGAATCCATATTAAAACCTCATGATACATTTCCTAGCAGTGTGTAATGGGCGGGCTAACAGTGTTACGTGGATAGCAGTGTGAACTGGCGGGCTGGCGGGCCAGCGGGCTAAAACTTTAAACTTAACTGATTCAACATGAACACGTTATGATACATTACCTGGTAGTGTGAATTGGGCGGGCTAACAGTGTAGCGGGCTAGCAGTGTGAACTGGCGGGCTGGCGGCCGGCGGACTAAACTTTAATACTTAATTGAAATGAACATGAAAAAAACGTTATGATACATTTCCTAGCGGTGTGAAGTGGGCGAGCTAACAGTGTAGCGGGAAAGCAGTGTGAACTGGGCGGGCTGGCGGGCTAAACTTTAATACTTAATTGAATCAACATTAAAACCTCATGATGCATTTCCTAGCAGTGCGAAATGGGCGGGCTAACAGTTGTAGCGGGCTAACAGTGTAGCGGGCTAGCAGTGTGAACTGGGGGACCAGCGGGTTAAACTCTAAAAACTTATCTGATTCAACATGAAAACGTTATGATACATTACCTGGCAGTGTGAAGGGGCGGGCTAAAAGTGTAGCGGGCTAGCAGTGTGAACTGAGCGGGCTGGCGGGCCCAGCGGCTAAACTTTAATACTTAATTGAATCAACATTAAAACCTCATGATGCATTTCCTAGCAGTGTATGTAATGATAGGCGGCGGCTAACAGTGTAGCGGCCCCTAGCAATGTGAACTGGGCGGGGCTGGCGGGCCAGCGGGCTAAACTCTAAAACTTAACATGATTCAACATGAAACACGTTATGATACATTACCTGGCAGTGTGAAGTGGGCGCGGCTAACAGTGTAGCGGGCTAGCAGTGTGAACTGGGCGGGCTGGCGGGCCAACGGGCTAAACTTTAATACTTAATTGAATCCATATTAAAACCTCATGATACATTTCCTAAGCAGTGTGAATGGGCGGGCTAACATTGTAAGCGGGCTAGCAGTGTGAACTGGGCGGGGCTGGCGGGATAAACTTTAACTTAACTGATTCAACATGAACACGTTATGATACATTACCTGCAGTGTGAAAGTGGGCGGGCTAACAGTGTAGCGGGCTAGCAGTGTGAAATGGGCGGGCTGGCGGACGCGGCACTAAACTTTAATACTTAATTGAATCAAACATTAAAACCTCATGATACATTTCCTAGCAGTGTGAAATGGGGCGGGCTAACAGTGTAGCGGGCTGGCAGTGTGAACTGGGCGGGCTGGTGGGCCAGCGGGCTAAACTCTAAAACTTACTGATTCAACATGAAAACCTATACATTTCCTAGCAGTGTGAAGTGGGGGGGGTCTAACAGTGTAGCGGGCTAGCAGTGTCGAACTGGGCAGGCTGCGGACCAGCGGAATAAAACTCTTGAAAACTTAAGTTGATTCAACATGAAAACGTTTATTGCAGACTTTACCGGCAGTGTGAAAGTGGGGGCGGGCTAACAGTATAGCGGTCTAGCAGTGTGAACTGGGCGGCGGCTGGCGGGCCAGCGGGATAAACGTTAATACTTAATTTAATAAACATCTAAAACCTTATGATACATTTTCTAGCAGTAATAAGCTCGACGAGCGACTAGCATTACCCCATGAAACAGTGTAGCGGGCTAGCCGTTACAAATTCAGCGTGCTAGCAGTCTACTGTCTAAATTCCATACTTAATTATTTTGACACTACGACTAAAGGTACGTTATGATGCATTTGCTGACAATGTGAACTCGGCGGGCTAACAATGCTTGTTTTTCATATGCTATACACGATCCTTGAGAACTGTCCACAAATATGTTACACTTAAAGTTTTTAAAATCCGTATTGATATATTCAAATGATGTAGTTATATACAGAAAAAACGACAATCTTAACTGAAACAGAAAAACAAAAACTCTGCAATATAAGGTTATTATTAGGCGCAATCAAATGTAGAACCTCATGTACGTGAAGCAGAAGCTGCTCGAACCACCCACGAGAGGATATTCAACAGTAGCTGCGCCATACTGCACCGTGTATACTTTCGTGACAATCGACAACAGCCAAGCCATTGTCCATAATATAAGGCAACATCTGAATCTAGCCTGAGTTTGAGGCTCCTGGGTGGTTAAAATACACTATATATTAATCACCGAGGCAATCAAGGCCGCAGTACATTAGAAGCGTTCGATTCGTCCGCTCCTCCGTAAGCATTTACCACAGTCCTTTCGATTTGACCTTAAAAACCGAGGTGCCGTGTATCAGTGCTTTTACAACCCGGGCACATAGGAAAGATCCACGCGTTATGGCTTCCTGAACATGGGCCATCTTTCTGTGCTCCCTGCACTATCCTCACAAATCTAATACGAGCAGTGTCAAATTTGAAAAAACCACAAAGCGGACGGCATACCGATACCGTACAGAATGTACTCCATTCAGAGTCTTTCCTCACTATATGGGGATTCTTTACGTGAATAGCCCGCCCACTTTCACACTGCTAGGAAATGTATCATGAGGTTTTCATGTTGAATTCAGTTAGGTATTAAAGTTAAGCCCGCTGACCCGCCAGCCCGCCCAGTTCACCACTGCTATCCCGCTACACTGTTCGCCCGCCAACTTTCACACTGCCACACGCGTAAATTTTATGACCATATGAGGATATAATATGGAATTCAAATTAAGTATTAAAAGTTTAGCGCCGACTGGCCCCCGCCCAGCCACCCCCCGCCCAGTTTCACAACTGCTAGCCCGCTACAATGTTAGCCCGCTCCTCTTACACATGCCAGTTAAGTATCAATAACGTTTTCATGTTTCATGGTTAAGTTTTAGAGTTTAGGGCCACGCTGGCACCGCCAGCCCGCCCACTTCCAAACACTGCTAGGCGCTAGTTGCTATTCATGAGGTTTTAATTTAATTCAACTTAAAGTATTAAAGTTCCATCCCCGCTACCCGCCAGCCGCCCAGTTCAACTGCTATGGCCCGCTACCACTGTTGCGCCCGCCCACCTTCACACTCCAGGTAATTTAACATAACGTTTTCATGTCGCATCAGTTAAGTTTTAGAGTTAATCCCGCTGGCCCGCCAGCCCGCCCAGTTCACACTGCTAGCCCGCTACACTGTTATCCCGCCCATTTCACATTGCTAGGAAATGTATCATGAGGTTTTAATGTTGATTCAATTAAGTATTAAAGTTTAGCCCGCTGGCCCGCCAGCCCGTCCAGTTCACACTGCTAGCCCGCTATACTGTTAGCCCGCTCATTTCACACTACCAGGTAATGTATCATAACGTTTTCATGTTGAATCAGTTAAGTTTTAGAGTTTAGACCGCTGGCCCGCCAGCCTGCCCAGTTCACACTGCCAGCCCGCTACACTGTTAGCCCGCCCACTTCACACTGCTAGGAAATGTATCATAACGTTTTCATGTTCAATTGGTTAAGTTTTAGAGTTTATTCCGCTGGCCCGCCAGCCCGCCCAGTTCACTTTGCTAGTCCCGCTACACTGTTAGCCCGCCCATTTCACACTGCTAGGAAATGTATCATGAGGTTTTAATATGGATTCAATTAAGTATTAAAGTTTAGCCCGCTGGCCCGCCAGCCCGCCCAGTTCACACTGCTAGCCCGCTACATTGTTAGCCCGCCCATTTCACACTGCTAGGAAATGTATCATGAGGTTTTAATGTTGATTCAATTAAGTATTAAAGTTTAGCCCGCTGGCCCGCCAGCCCGTCCAGTTCACACTGCTAGCCCGCTATACTGTTAGCCCGCTCATTTCACACTGCCAGGTAATGTATCATAACGTTTTCATGTTGAATCAGTTAAATTTTAGAGTTTAGCCCGCCAGCCTGCCCAGTTCACACTGCCAGCCCGCTACACTGTTAGCCCGCCCACTTCACACTGCTAGGAAATGTAATCATAACGTTTTCATGTTCAATTGGTTAAGTTTTAGAGTTTATTCCGCTGGCCCGCCAGCCCCGCCCAGTTCACACTGCTAGCCCGCTACACTGTTAGCCCGCCCACTTCACACTGCCAGGAAATGTATCATGAGGTTTTAATGATGATTCAATTTAACAAATATTAAAGTTTAGCCCGAGGGCCCGCCAGCCCACCCAGTTCACACTGCTAGCCCGCTACACTGTTAGCCGGCCCACTTCACACTGCCAGGTAATGTACGTATTCATAACGATATTTCATGTTGACATCAGTTAAGTTTTAGAGTTTAGCCCAGCTGGCCGCCAGCCCGCCCAACCATTCACACTGCTAGCCCGCTAACACACTGTTAGCCCGCCCACCTTCACAACTGCTAGGAAACTGTATCATGAATATTTAATATGGATTCAATCAAGTAGTTGTAATGTTTAAGCCCGCATGCAATCATCCGCCAGCCGGCCCCAGTTCACACTGCTAGCCCGCTACACTGATAGGCCCGCCATTTGAAACTGCTAGAAATGTATCATGAGGTTTTACATGCGTTGATTCAATTAAGTCATTCAAAGTTTAGCCCGCTGGCCCGGCCAGCACGCCCAGTTCACACTGCTAGCCCGCTACCACTGTAGCCCGGCCCACTTCACACTGCACAGGTAATGTATCCATAACGTTTTGATGTTGAATCAGTTAAGTTTTAGAGTTTTAGCCCGCTGCCCGCCAGCCCCCCAATCACACTGTTAGCCCGCTACACTGTTAGCCCGCCCACTTCACACTGCTAGGAAATGTATCATGAGGTTTTAATATGGATTCACATTAAGTATTAAAGTTTAGCCCGCTGGCCCGCCAGCCCGCCCAGTTCACACTGCTAGCCCGCCCACTTCACACTGCTAGGATATGTATCATAACGTTTTCTTGTTTAATCTGTTAAGATTGATAGTTTAGCCCGCTAGACTGCTAGCCCGCCCAGTTCACACTGTTAGCCCGCTAGACTGCTAGCCCGACAAGTTCACACTGTTCGCCCGCTAGACTGCTAGCCCGTTCAGTTCACACTGTTAGCCCGCTAGACTGCTAGCCCGTTAGCCCGCGTACTTCACGGACATCGTTTAAACAGGGTCAACTGTGATTTTCGTTCCATACAAAATGATATTAAGTAGCATATTTGTCTGGTGTTGTATAATTTGCAATATCTCCGGTAAAATCTGAAATATCTATACAAAACATAATATAGAGATCTTTAAAACTTATTAGTAGCTTTTTATTTGAAACGAGAGCTTGATTTAAAAAATGATCATAATTACACATAACTTACGTTTTCAATCTTGATTGGTTTAAGTAGCCATCGTTCAAGCGTTTGTTTATCGCTACTTTGATTTCTCCACTTGTAATATTTAACAATCACTTTTTCCCGCCTTTCTGCATGTTCAACCTGTAATAATATGTTGAATTAATTTATGTTATACACAAATGTTTTCGTGTAAGATATTTGTGTGGCGGAATGGCCGGTTGGAATTAGCATCTGTTAGGATCTCTTGCCGTGTTGGGCTAACCAGTATTTTCCTTTAATAAGAAACTTACACTCATTGATAGGCTACTGGTTGGTTCCAGGAACGGATTCGATATTGTATCTATAAGCTTATACAGCTTCCTTTCAAATCAAACTAAAATAAACTTAAATAAATACGATACATATACAGAAAATATATCTAATAAGACATAAATGTATATATCAACGATATAGGATAATTGCCTGCACAAATACAAAGTCTCAAATTTATTAAAATGATACGCATTTTCCCAGTTAGCGCCTAACAATATGGCATTTGGACAGTAAAGGGACTAAATGACAGGACATTAGATAAAACCAAAATAAAGATACAAAGATTATATAAAAAAGATTGGATGATAATTTTCAAATCACTTCTGGGTTCTTAATTTTGCTATAGTTTTTTACCAGACAGTTCGTTATTGTATATGGTATATGATGTCAGCAGTTTGTTACAAAATTGATTTTTGCTTTATCAAAACCTGCTTTATCATTTACGTTGAAACCTTTATATACAACACTCTAAATGAGAACAACTTTTTATTTGAATTATGCAACGTTTCTTATATAAACGAAACTACGAGATATACGACACTTACTATGTTTATTTTTTATTCCGAAAGCATAAATGGTACTGCATTATCAAAATCTAATTTTCTATGTTATTCGTTAAATGCAATAAAAAAGATCTAATAAAATACAATAAAATTTATAGTTTGTTTTTCTTATGCAAATCCAGGGTGTTATATGTGATAATGAAGGGAAGTAAAAATAAGACTCAACACGTGGTGTCAATACAATAAAAGTTAGTTATAAAGAACGGTCTTTGGACTCCTTTATCTATTTACCTCAGCCTACTTAGTAAACATGAAAAAACTCTAAGTGGATGTGAAAATCACTAATAAAAAGTATATAGGTCATAAATCATATTGCGGTTAGTCAACTTATATCGTAATAAACTTTATAGAGTATTCTTTGTTTAAATATGTAATACACTAAGTATTATCATTAAATGAAATTACCTTATTCCCGAAATGCTTCTTGAAACTTTCAATGTCAGAAGATTTGCCCGCCGTGTTAGAAAGATTTGCTTCAAACAAGAATATATTTGACACAAGCTGCAAAAAGAAAGTAGATTTCTAAGAAATGTATGCATCATTTCCAAATGCTTCTGAGCAGCAGGGTTTTATTTAAAAAAATTTTTCCCCTTTTAAAGCCCCAAAATCCCTTTTGGGAAACCCTTTAAACCAAAATCTCACGTTATTTAAAAAAAATTTTACACAAATTAAAAATTTGGGCCCTCCCCGGGCCCTGGGTTAAAAAACAAAAACCCTTTTCCACTCTCTTTTACAAAAAAGGGACAATTTTAAAACATTTTAAAGTACATCAATTTAATTTACGACAAACATTTTGAAAAAAGAAAAGTTTTATTTTAAAGTAAAAAAAATTTTTGAATAAACACAAAAATTGATGTGAAATTTTTTAATTTAAATAATTTTTTTAACCCTAGAAACCAAATATACTTAAAAACATAAGAAACAAAAGAAAATTTTTAAAAAAATTTTATAAAATTGTACAGCGATTTATTTCCCCTTTGTTTTTTAAGAAATTTTTACGAAACAAACAAAAAAATCTTGGGGGGATATACAATACACCGTGTACCTGCCAAACAATGGTTAATACATGTTACATATTACGAAATGAAACAAATACATGTATGTTGTAAAAATCATAAGAAACAACAGTGCGAGCGAGGTGTGCTGTGTGTGTGTGTGCAGTGCGTGCGTGCGTGCGTGCGTGCGATGCGAGCGAACGTGCGTGTGTGTGATTTTTTTTTTGTTTTTTTGTGAGTACAAACGTGCGCGTGTACGTGCTGTATTTAAATTCGTGTAAATTCGTGCACTTGTATGCAAACTTGTAACAAATTCATTTTTGGATTACAAACGGAATAGGACAATGTAACAATGTATATTTTACATTCACAACCAGTTCATCGAATATACACATTTGATGAAAAGCTTTGAAAACTATACTCTCTAGTCTCGTCGCTTAGAAATAAAAGGATGTAAAACCACGTTTTCAAATGTAATCCATAACTTTGCCCTTTTTTGAATCATTTGAGGGACAAAACAATAGAAATATGTTTAATTTATCATTAGGTTACAGCTTTTTTGCATCATATTTTCCTAGAAAAATATCGGCACATTAGGGAATAACCTCAGCCTGGTAAGTTTCTATAACTGCGGATAAAAAATGCCAAAAGAAACATGTTTCAAAAACAGGATGAACAAAGGAGGAATTGGTTCAAATTTATCGCACAGTGCACGGTTTTTCAATCAAACTGTATTGAACTAAATTGAATTGTCGATTTGACCATTCTTGTCCAGGGTACTTGAGATTTCGGGGTACTCCTGTACTATAAAAGGTTTATTTAAGAAGGCGTGTAAGGTTGTATTACTTAAGATCATTGTTAAATTTCTGAAGAATCGCTTTTGTTTTACTTGAGCAAATTAAAATGACGATAACCAATGTACAAAAACGTTCTTTTATTCGAAATTTAGTGGTCTTTACCGGCTGAGCTGGCCAAAAATAACAGTTTCGTTTATTCTATCAAATTGGCCATTGGTTGCTTATACTTATACAGCTCAGGGCTATATCCGTCCTTGTACTTACTAGTATTGACTAAATGTGTTTTATACATTGGTTATTGTAGTTTTATAAGGGGTTTTAAGGTGTCTTCAGTAACTACCCCGAAACCTTTAGTCGCTTTCCCATACAGAAGCCTTAGGTAACACAACCTGACACATAATCTTTTTGCATGTTAGAGGATGGAGGTCGATTTTTGTAAATTACCACAATCCACGACACTAAAAAAAAGCTTTTTTCGAAGTTTATCGACAGCTAATAAAAGATATTCACGTCTATTTTCTAGGGTTTTTGTTACAATGGACACCTAAAAAGAAGTAGCTTCCCGGGGTTTTTTTTTTATGGGTTTTTTCCCTAATAGCCAAAGGGGCGAGGTCTTGGGGTTTAAATCGTTTAAAACACTATTGTGTTTAAATTTTTGGGGATTATATTTTGATATTTTTTAAATTTTTTGGGGTTCCCATTAAAAATAGTCCATTTAGAGTTTTTCAAGACCCCCTCTTTTTTATTTAAAATTTAAAAAACATGGGAATCGGCCCGAAGTTGGGTTTTAAATTTACATTTTTTAAAATACCCAAATTTTTAAAAAGGCCCAAAGTTTACTATTGTTTTACTTTTTTCCATTAAACTATTATAATATTGGGAAAAGAAAAGGAAGAGACTTTGGCCTAGACGGGTTTTTCCTTTTAAAAAAAGGGAAAAACCCGTTGATGTTTTAATTTTTTGTGATTTCCGCAAGGCGGTTTTTGAAAAAAATGACAAACACTTTAAAAAGTTTAAATTAAAAAAATACCCCTTTTTAAAAATTAACCAGAGGTTGATACCCAAGTGCGATCGAAAGCCCCTTTTTTAGCATCGAAAAACAAGTGGATACTTCCGGGGGAATTTGGGCTTTGACCATAGTTTAACATTCTCTTAGCAAAAAAAAAAGATGTCATTAAAAACAACTTAAAAAGTTTTTTTAAAAAACCACCCCTGTGTGGGATTTTAAATCACCCCTTCCCCTCCTTTTAAAAGTTCTAAAAAATAAAAATTTTCGAAAAAAAGTTTTAATATCACCGAGCATAAAGTATTGCCGGTAGTTATTTTGGAAACCGATTTTTCAAAATTCTCCCACCCCTTTTTAAAAAGGGGGGTAAAAATTTTTTACCCCTTTTCCCTTTCTAACGGGGGTATGTGAAAACCCAAGATGCTATTGAACAATTTTTTCAAGGTTTCGTTTTATTAGTAGGAACCGCCGGGCATTGATGTTTTCATAAAGAATTTTAAAATTCCACCTTCCT